GAACCAAGACAAATAAAATAAAACTTTGAAGAAAACCCTTGTCTTGAAATAGAGCTAGTGGTTCCCAGCAAAAAGGAATTTATAACCTTAGTTGTTAAACAGGAGATTGGTGAAGGCTTTGATGGATAAACAAGGCTGGCAAAATTATCAGGTGGCCAGTAACCTTGATTAAATGGTTTGAGAATTGTAATAAAAAAGCATCTTTTAAGCGGAGCCAAATTGTAAAAAAAGCACGCCTGAGCAGAGCCGCTGAGCTGCTGTTTCGCGGCGCTCCGGCAGAGCACGCCCAGTGGGTGGGGCAAGCGCTGGGATGTAGCGCGCAGGGGCGGGCTCAGACTGCCCCCGGAAACGGGTAAGATGGCGGCGGTGACGAGGACGGCGCATGGGGGAGGGAGGGGCTGGGACGGCACGTGGGGGAGGGGCTGGGAGGCGGCCCGACACAGTGCGCAAAGCTGGAACTGCTTGCAGGGCGCGAGGATTAGAAAGCCAATTTAGGAACACAGCTGGGTTTTGATTAGCCTCCTGGACCTGTTTTAAAAGTTTCTTATAGTTAGTATGTTTGTCCTGCTCTGGCACAGCTATAGGCCCAGAGTCATTATAAACGTCCTTAAAATGTAAATCATAACAATTAGTAATAAATTTAAATTGCCTGATATAATTCTGTGGGTCAACAGAGAGGCTACCTAATTTAAGGGTAATCTGAGATAGATCAGAAAGGGAAAAAGGCACATGGATGTTAACAAGTTCCTTGGGGCCAGCTTGCTCCCGAAGCGGTAGCAGAGCCTGAGGAGTTTCTGGAGCAGAGGGCCCTTGAGCAGCCATCCTTCCGGTAGGCGCATGTGAGCAATCATCTGTAGAGCGGCTACAGAGCTGCTGCCGGTCACCCTGGGAAACACGAGCAGATGGCGTCTCACTGTGTGCCTTGCAGCCAGAGGACTGCTGTGGGCAGCACAATGAAGCGTCATGTGCACTGCAACAGGGCGGCTGTTGTAGTTCACAAGAGGAGCCACAAGGAGACGCCTGTTGACAGTGAGGGCCCTGGAAACATGGCGGCGCCCTGTCACATGACCCAAAACATGGCGGTGCCTGGAAACATGGCGGCGCCCTGTCACATGGCCTGAAACATGGCGGCGCCTGGGAACATGGCGGCGCCCTGTCACGTGGCCCGAAACATGGCGGCGCCCTGTCGCCATGTGGCCCTCCGGAACATGGCGGCGCCATGCCATGTGGCAGAGGGTTGCAACATGGCGAATGTTCCCCGCGCAAGCTGGAACAATCACGTGACCTGCTGGAAGGACATAGCGAGCGAGACCTAGTATGGTGGGCGGGCGGTGAGAATGCTGTAGGGGATACAGAGTTCTCAGGAGAGGAAGTCGGAGACTGCGAGGAAGCGCTAACAGAGGGATCAGAGCCACTGGGAGAGTTATGGGTCCCAGGAGAAGGCGGGGGAGAGGATGGAACATCGGGAGATAACTGCGACACAGAGGGATTAGAGCTGCTGGGAGAATTATGGGTCCTGGAAGGCGGAGAGGGAGACGATCGCACAGCGGGAGGTATCTGCGACTGAGAGGGATTAGAGCTGCTGAGAGAATCAGGCACAGGGGGAGGGGAGAGTGGTCTGGCGGGAGGTAACGGCAGGGAACCAGTTTGGTGGTAGGCAGGCGGTGGCTGGGAAAACGGAGGGCAGGATGGAAAAGTTTGTGGCGCAGTAGACTTAGCTAAAAGTATCTCAGCTGGAGCACAAGACTTAATGAGAGATGGGCGTGTTCTCAGAATAAGAAAGGCTTGGACATAAGGGAGTTCCAATAACTTGTTGCCAGCTTGACAAAAATCATACAAGTTCCTGAGAATGCAGGGGTCAAATGTTCCTTGCCGAGGCCAAGGCTTGCCGATAAGCGGATAGGTTGGCCAGACCTCCTGGCAGTAAAAAGTTAGTTGTTTAGTTTTTATGGTACCTTTAATTTTTAGAGTACGTAAATTGGAAATTAGGCATTTTAAAGGCGTCTTTTGGGAGTTAGAAAATACGTTCCCCATGACTGATTCAGGCAAGAAAAAAAACCGGAGGTCCAGAAAAAAGTCGTCACTTATTTGTGGTACCACGCGGCAGCTACGGTTCCAAACCGTAAACTCCAGTCGTCACTGAGAGATTTACGAATGGAGTCTACGTGGGGTCAGTAACAGTTTTGCCCGTGAAAGCGCAAGGCTTTAAGGGAAGTGAGGCATTCTTTCAGTGTGGGCGGTCCCAAAAATCTCTGCTTTGGGCTATCCGAACCCAAAGAATGTGAGAGATTTTGTGGGCGCAGGTTTGCCCAGAAAGAACCCTGCCCTGGGCGGTCCTAAGGACGTGAAAATGCACAGACCCACGCAGACGGGGAGAACATTCCACTGGGGCTGCCCAGTGCGAAAAGTTCCCCGGGGAGTGCTCACCTGAAATCAGTCTGGCCGATGCGGAGTGCAGGCGGCTGGCGACAGGAACGTCTCGGGAGAGGAAAAAGCTCGGGATTAATCCAGGATGTTATCTGATTATCAGCGAGGAAACGCTGGGTATGTGGCCCAAGAGTTAGTTGCCTGCCGATCGAGTCACGGCAACAAATGATAGAGTTATTTCCAAAAGATGAAAAATATTAACAAAAGATGAGAAATATAAAATAAAAAGCGGCCTTTATTCTGAGAACACGGAGAGAGATGACCGGCAACCCCCACCGCTGGCGTCCGGCGATCTCTCCGGCGGACACGCGGCGTGGGGGCCTGTAAATAGCCTCGGTTTGGGGTGGAACCTAAGGCGGGCATTAGGGATACATAGGTAGCCCATTGGTCCTAGGTTTGGCGCCATATGTAAATTTCCAGGGGCGGGAAGATGGCGTCACAGGTAACTTCCTAGGGGCAGGGCAAGATGGGGCTTCCTGCTTCCGGTTGTGGCTTTCCTGGCTACAGTGTCCTGTCTGGGCCAAACCTTTCAAAGTGGAGTCGAGGGGGTGGAGTGCAGATGCAGAGACGGAGGCCAGGTGTGAGGATTCTGGCCAGCTGCCTCGCCCATGGGGCCCTGTGTGCCTCTGCAGGCGACCTTTTCTCCAGAGCAGAAACACGGTCATCTGGGCATAAGGAAGCAGTGGACACGGAGGAGGCCTAACGCACTGCGTTTTGTCTCTGCTCAGAGGCACTCAGTCACCTTTGCCCTCTTTCTCTGTGGCCTCTAATCAGGGTCACCTGAGGAGGCTCCGCGGACACACCCGGAAGTTGGGCCCCAGCGCCCCCTGGCGCCCGCGGCGCGGCCCAACACCAGCCGCCGCTGGGATCCGAGCCAAGCGCTCACCGAGGTGGGCTGAGGACCGGCTCGCCCCGCGCTCCCGCCCGGGGCCCCTGCCGCAGCCTCTCCCACCCCGGCCCCACGCGCTGCGCGGCTCTGGTCTCCCAGAGGCTCGGGAGGCCGACAGGAAGATCCCCTTCACCGCGGCACCGCTGGTGCACGACGCTTCAAGGGCCTCACTTGCTGAGAGCCTAAAAAGGTCGGTCACCTGGGGCAGGGGATGTAGCTCAACGGCACAGCGCCTGCCTGGCAAGCGCGAAGTCCTGAGTTCAGGACCTGGTACCAGAAAAGCAAAAGCCGTGACCCCCAACCTCAGGGAGTCTCCGGTGCCCCAGAAGTGACGCAGGATGAAGAGCGGTGCTCCGCCAGGGGCGGCTCCACCCCCGCCGTGCCCCACGCGGTCGCGGCCTGGATTGCCCACTGCCCCTGGCCCTACCCTGCCCATGTGGGCACAAAAGCCTCATCGGCCCCTGATCCTGATGGGTTCTCCTCTGCCAGTCCCGCAGGGGCTTTGCTTCGACCCAAAGGTCCAAGCCCCTGCCCCTCAAGCGACGCTATCCGGAGAGACAAGGCCTTTACAGAGATAATTAAGTGGAAAAGGAAATTAAACTGGAACCAGAAGAGGGAGTGGGGAGGTGAGTAGGGTCAACCTATGCATAAATCCGCCCAAAGGAATCCCATTAATTTTTGTAAATGCTTTAAGAATTGAAAGTAAATCCCTGGAGGTTTTTAATTTTCAAAGAGGAAATTAGGACACAGATATATACAGACGGCCAGGATGAGAAGAGGGCTCAGTTAAGCGGGTGCTTGGGAGGCTGAGGCAGCAGGACTGCCACAACTCAACGCCAACTACACCATCTCAAAAAAATAAAAGAGAAAGCCAGGTGTGGTGGCGCATGCCTGTAATCCCAGCATTTAGGAGGCTGAGACAAGAGGACTGTTACAAATTTGAGACCAGCCTGAGTTACAAAGTCAGCTCAAGACCAGCCTGAAATGCACAGCTAGATCCTGTCCCCAAAAGACAGAGAGACCCTGCCCAACACTTTCATCTCAAAGATGCAGCCTCTACCATTGCAGGACAATAAATTTGTTAAGCCACACCAACAGTTTTGTGATTGCAATCCTAGCAAACGCCAACTGAAGGCTCTGATAAGTCCTGCAGGGGTGGTGGGGGAGACCCTGGGGCTCGGAAGAAGCAGGAAGGGAAGGGTTTGCCAAGTGCCCATCCTGCTTGAACACAGTGTTTGACTCCTGAGAACCCCAGTCTCTGTGGGTGTTCCCACGGGAACTGTTCCTGCTGAGAATCTCAGCTCTCTAGGAGGCTGAGGCAGGAGGATCCTATGTTGAAAGCCAGCCCAGACTATATATGGCGAGACCATCTCAAATAACCACACTACTACTACTGCCAGACAGCAGCCAGGAGAAGCCTGGTGACAAAGGAGTCACCCATGCAACCAGCCGTCCCAAACCCCTGCTGTCCTCTCTGCAAAGTGGCTGCTATCACAGGCCCTGGCTGGGGGCTGAGGGACTGCTGGTGAATCTGACCTAGAACTGCCTATTGTCAAGCTAAAGCCAGGCTCTTAGCCTCTGTGAAGGGTGGGCAGGGCCCCAGGAGCAGGGAGAACATCAGCAGGGCCCTGGGGCAGTCCACTGGCCGGCTCCCTCTGAAAGAAAGCAAGGGGTGAGCGCTGGCCAGCGGGAAGAAGGAAATTTATTTCTCTGCAGAGGGCAGTAGAGGGGCAGGGCATAGGTCAGGGCAGGGGTACGTCTTCCAGCTTCTGGTCCAAGGTCTTGAGGTCATCCAGGAACCGGGTGGGCGTGAGGATGTGGGAGGAGCCTGGGCAGAGGCCAGCAAGGTCAGGGAGGCAGGCCCAGCCGGGGTCTCAACAAGTAGACCCCTCCCTGCCCCAGTGACCCAGCCCTGACTGCCTAAGGACACAGGAGTCTGGAGGCTTAAGAAAAAGGGGATCCAGGACTCAGGTGAGCCCTATCGACCCAAACCACAACCAGAGCCTCCAGCCCTGGACCCCAAATTCCAACACCAGCCCTCCTGGGACCCCAGAGTCTAGCCTCAGCTCCAAGACCCCAGAGTCTGCTCCCCAAGCCCCCGGACACCAGAATCATCATCCCCTGGAACCTCAGCCAGGCTACTCACCAATAAGCACCTCCCACTTGCCCTCAGTGCTCGAGGTCACCTCATAGGCCGCCCTCATCTCTGACATGGCCATGCCACCCACAACATACACGATGAGCCTGGGCCCAGCCCGAGCTTCCACGCCCACCTTGTTCTTGTGCCAGTGGCCAAAACGGGCACTTCCGGAAGAAAGGGGGGGCGGTGGTCAAGCCAGGCAGAGACACGTGTCCCCTCCCTCCCCCACACAGGTCCAGCCAGGAGTCTAGGCATCCCCTGGGCCCCACCTGACGGCAGCCTGTGAGCTGGGCGTGGGAGCAGGGTCAGACACGAAGGGCCACAGCTTGCGGTCCAGCCGGTCCTCCACAGCGTCCTGGGTGGTCAGAGGGGGAGGCCCTGGATTTAGGGGCCAACTTCCTGGCACACAGGAAATCACCTACAACTCCTTCTCCATAGGGATCTCAGAGTCCAAGCATCAGAGGACCATGGGGTGGGAAAGCCCCCAGCTGGACACTGGACCTGGGCCCCCAATGCTGCTCTCAGGATGGTTGGGGGCCCTTTGGGTGGTGCCAGGGGTGGGGGTGGGGACAGAGGACAGAGAGCACATGGAAGAGGTCGGGTACAGGGAATGCAGTAATGAGGGATTTTCTGCTAAGCCTTGGGGCTTAGAGCTGGGAAGCTAAGCTACTGCCTGGATCGGAATTAGGGTGGCGGCCCCAGCATCCCCAGGTACCTCCATGACGTCCTTGATGACCGGTGTCCAGCGGGACAGCTGATAGGTCGGTTCCATGCGCTCTCTCCGCTCCAGCCGGCTTGGGGTCCCTGAGCCCTGTGAGTGAGGCCAGGCGGGGGCGGCGGAAGCCAGGGGTAAGGAGGCAGGTTACAGACAGGACTGGGACTCACTCAAGGAGTGTACAGACAGAGAAGGTACAGTGGAACAGAAAATGACAGGAACAGTGACAGAGACCCAGGGAGCAAGAGATGAGGGCTGCGGGGCGGGAGGGTGTGGAGAAGACAGGGGCAGGGGCCAGAGAGAGGCAGAAGCTAAAGGGAGAGTCCAGCGCAAGAAACTGCAAGTGTGAACGGGGGACGTGGGTGGCAGGGTGTCCCCAAGGGGTCCAGGAGTCCAAACGTGCCCTGCCCTCCAACCTGGGGCCGATGCTCCTGCACTCAAAACTACACACCCCACAATGCACCACTGCCAGGACCACTATGGCCACGATCTCCTTCCCCTTGGGGCCTATGGTGTGACCTGGGACTTAGGCTGTGCCCCTGCATACCCCGGGGTTGGTGACAGCGGCCCCCAGCTGCTCCAGGTTCCGGATGAGGCTGCTGTAGGCCTGCACGTTGGCGTGCTGGATCAGCTTGGCCAGATTCTCTTCGCTCACACCTGGGAGGCAAGGGGCGCTGCGAGGTGGCCCTATGGGGCCCTGGTTAAGAGATGGGGGGTCGGGAAGCAGGCATCCCAGGACTGGTGGAGGCCTTGGAGTTAGGAACAGGGGAGCTTTGTGCCGTGGGAACTAGGCAGCCCTGAGAGGATGATGGGAGCCTGCACAGTGAGTTGAGGCCCGGTCTCTAGGAGGCAGGGATTCAGGGTCTCCTTGCCAACAGAGGGCACACTAAGTCCAGGAAGTGCTCACAGGGCCCCGAGATCCCAGGAAGCTGTGGGATGAAGGGCTCCCAGGATTGCTGGAGACACACAGGTCTGTCACAGGACCCTCTGCCCACACCTACCATTCCGCAGAAGGATGTAGAGCAGCAGGACCCGGATCTTGTCATAGGGCGGCACGGCGGCGTCCAGCAGCACCGGGACGATCAGCTTCATGGCGTCCTTGATCTTCTCACCCTCTGCATCGGAGCCCATGGCCAGGTCCTGCGGGGCGACAGAGCCAGAAGAGGGGGGTGGGTGGGAGGTGGCAGGACAAGGACACCCTCAGGTCCTCGGCAAAACGTTTGGGTTTGGACCCCACCTCATCGTTGCCGCAGGTCTCTGTGCCACAGCCCTGTCCTGGGACCAAGGCCCACAAGCCCCCACCCTCCACCCTCGCGCAGGTCCTGCTTCTCCCCAGGGCCCCGCCCATTCCGAGGCCCCACCCCTTTCCAAGGCTGCTCCTCTGTAAGCCCCACCCCTAAAGAGGCATCACTCACTGAGGCCCCGCCCCATGATACGCCCCGTCCACCTGTTCCACGCTGCACAGCTTTTCCACAGAGCCCTTGAAGTGCTTCATGCAGTCGTCAGCTAAATGCAGGTGCGTGGAATACTGAGGGAGACGAGAGGCTGAGTCAGGACACAGTGGAAAGGACATGGATGGAGAAGAGGGTCAGGGCCCCACAAACCCTGAGCTCACCTTATTCAGCTCCTTCTGGTACTGCGGCATCTTTTTCAGGATGTGGGACAGGTCTTTAATGTTGGCCTATGGAGGCGGGTGGGTGCCGGGTGAAGCCAGGACCCAAGGTAGGGGGTCGCAGTTGCAGCTCAAGATGCAAGTTGAGGCCCCGCCCCCTGGGAGGAGTTTCCCCCACCAGGCTCCCTGTGGACACAGGCGGGCTCCTACCTTGTCGGTGGTCATCCTCTTGCTCTCACAGAAGGTCTTCAGAAGCTCAGTGACCTTCCTAGCCAGGTGGGAGGACAGGTTGAGTGGGGGCGGGTGCTGGGTTAGAGGGGTTGGACAGTCCAACAGAGGGGTGTGGCTTGTGGCTGTCTTGACTTTGCAGAGGACAGGCCTTATGGGTGTGGCTTAGAGTAACCCCCCACACACAAGGGTGGATGGACAGGGGTCCCAGCCCCCCAGCACCGGCTTGTGCTCGCACTTGGACACATCAGCGATGTGCATGTGCCGAAGCTCCACCCACAGCTCGTCGTCCTCGTCCAGGAGCACGGCCTTCTCCCGTGCCTCGCTCAGCCCCGTGGTCTCGTACCTGTGGGGTGGAGGGGGGGTGCAGAGACGAGAGGACCGGGGCCATGCGGTGAGAAACGGGACTCAACATGGGGGCAGCAGTGGTGGGAGGCTGAGCTCACGGCCCACCCACCTATACGTGTCCTGTTCGATGTCCAGCAGGTCATAGGCCATGGCCTGGAAAGTGAGCTCGTGCAGCAGAGGCGATATGGGGTCCGCGGCCCGGTCCATGATCAGCAGCTGTGAGCGGGTTTTCTCAGGACCCTAGGCAGGAGGGAGGCGGGCAACAAGGATGAGGGCCTAACACGCACCCTGCCCTTACAGGGTTCACCCCACCCACCTACCCAGGGCCCCCTTACCTCGCCCAGACTAGGATTGTCCGCCTTGAAGGCGTTCAGCTTGGCCAGGACGGCATGGGCCAGCTGGGCGGTATCCTCTGAGCCCCTGGAGGTGGGCAGAGAGTGGGCATCAGGAGACACGGGGCACAGACTGGGGGTCGAGACTAGGGTTGAGGGTAGGGATCGGGGCCAGCGGAGAAGTTAGAGGTCAGATACAGGATGAAGACAAGGTCAGAGGGCAGCACTGGGGACAGGGCTGGGCTGGGTCCCACTTTCGGTAGCGGATAGCTGGGTACTCCTGCAGTGTGGCACACAGTGTGGCGATCTGCTGGGCCAGCGCCTCGAGCTGCCGCACCCGCTCCTTTGCCCGGAAGGGGCAGTAGAGGTTGTAGGTGCTGTGGGGGGCATCCAGGGAGAACACCTAGAGGACAGAAGTGCCAGGGCCACCAGTGTAGGTGCACACCTGAAAGCTGCCCAACTTCCAACCCCCACGAGACATCCTACCCCCGCCCAGGACAAGCCAGAGCTGCACCTGGGCCTCGTAGGGCAGGAATGCAAGGTGGATCTCCTTCAGTGTCTTTACCACCTTTGCCAGGCGGGAGCGACCCAGCTCGTTGAACAGGGGCTCAGGGCAGGCTGGGGTAGGCGGAAGGGGCCATCAGACCAGAGTTATCACCGAGCCCCTTCACCCCAGCCCTCAAGCCCCAATTCCTCTCACTCACTGTCGGTGAAGAAGACGTGTGCTGCTTTGTAGGTGAAAGTGGGGGTCCCCCGGAAGTCTGCTATCAGGGCCTGAACGGACTGGAGAGTGCGGACCACTCTTTAGCTCTGACCCTGAACCCTCAGACCCGTCACCCTGGCTGCTGCCTGTCCCATGCCATGTATAAATGTGCCCAGAGGGACACACACATCAGCATGTGCATGCACACACACATGTTCACGGGCTGGCTCATGTAAGCACCTTCTCTGTGGGGCTCAGCAAATAAATGGCCTCCAGGCTGGGGATGGGTTCTCGACGTTTGTTGATGTCTTCCACAACTATTAACAGCAGAGAAAGGGGCACAAGTGGGTACACACAGGTGGCATGAGGACAAGAATACACAGGGAGTCTCAGGTTAGGGTTGGGAGAACTGGGTGCAGAGGTCAAGGGCTGATGCCTGGGAGGCTGCCTAATCAGGGGTTCCTAAGCAAGAGATATGCACCTAGGGGATTGCTCATCTAAGATGCCAGTTAGGCTCTGCACAGTTGGGACTCACACTTAAGGGCTATTCCCCAGGGGTCCCACACTCAGGCTCCATGTACAGACCACGAGGTGGGGGCGGCCACTCACTGGTGATGCCCTCGGCCAGGATGTCTGACATTTTGCAGCAGGATGACAAGATGCGCATGCTTGGGTGATCCATAATGAGTACCTGTCCAGAGGGATGGACAGACGGATGCATAGGCATACATGCAGGCAGAAGAGACCTAAACTGGCCCCAGGAGGGACAGAGGGCTATGAGTGGAACTCAGTTTCAAAGGCCAGGTGGGCAAGTGAACCCAGAAGCCATCCTGCCAATGCCACCCCAGTGGGCCAACAGCCTTTCCAAAGAATCCCTGGGGGCCCCACAGGCAGGGTCTCCCTCCCAAGTGGACTCTGGCCTGGGGAACCAGGCATCCTGCCTCACTCCTACCTTCCATTCTCCATCCTTTTTGACACTCCGAATGACTCCACTCAGAATTTCTGCAGGGAAGAGAGGGAGAAGCCAGGGTGCCAGTCCTCTGGTCCTACCAGGCCCTCTCATTTGAACTCCCTTCACGCTTCCCCCCAATCCCAAGAGGCAGCTCCTTGGCATCACCTCAATTTCCAGGCAAGGAAACTGAGGGTCTGAGGGGACAATGGACATGCCTAAGTGGCACAAAGCTTGGGGCATAAGCAACCACTTAATAAATATTTATTAACTAAATAAAGTAAATATTTATAAATATTTTGAGATGCATTCATGGATGGCAAAGTGGGGCTCCCTGCTTCCCCACTTGCTGCGCCTCCACTCCACCTCCCTTTAGACTCAGATGCATGACATTGGTCATCTCAGCAACATCTGAGCCTCAGTTTCCTCATCTGTAGACTGGGACCACTGGTTGTATTTCCCCCTAATCTCCCTATTAACCATTCTACAGTGAGCTTCTTTTAGAGTTAGAAGTGTTGCACTGAGGAAGCTGGGTGACCTCAACCGGCCTGGTCAGTACCATGTCCACTGTTATCAGGACCGCAGGGGCGGAAGGAGCAGCTGAGACCGGAACCACTGGGGTGGAGGAGGGGCGTCCCCACCCCTCCCCCGCAAACTTGGACCCTAGGTCTCCCGCTGCAAGGGGCTTCACTGATGAAGCCTGGGGGAAGGTGACCCCCCACATCACACTCGTGGAGCCTGGACACCTCCCAGAAACCACCTGCAATTGCTGACTAGGGCGCTGTGGGGCCCCCGGGTCCAGCCTCGAACTTTGTCGGATTCAGAGACCCGGGAGCTGTAGAGGCAGTGGAGGGGGAATCCACCCGTGCCCTTGCCTTGCAAGCATCCTAGAAGAACTGAGAGTCTGGGCTCCTGTCTGCGCCACTCCCTACCCGCCCTTTTGGGTCCCCATTGGGTGCCCCAGAGCCAGTGTCCCAACTTTGTTCCGGCGTCCAGCTGGGACCTAGCCCCTGGCCGCCCTTCGGGGATCAAGACCCCAACTCCCCGCCACCGGGACCCTGAGCCTCCAGAGTCCCTGTGCCTAGTGCCCCCTAAACCGCCTTGGGAACCGGAGCCCCGCCCCAGAGGGGCACTCACTTTCACCCACTACCGCTTTCAGCCCCGAGGGCGCCATCTTCCCCCAGGAGCGCCTCCGACGCTTCCGGGTCTGTCCCAAGGTGGGGGCGTGGCCACGCGAATCACACACGTGGGCCCCGCCCCACAGCCCCTGACCACGCCCCGCGCACCTGGCCACGCCCCCTCCGGTTCGCCTGCAGAAGAGATGGGGTCCCGGGCTGGGCGGGCGGGTGGATCTGTCTACGCAGCTCAGCACCGCGTCGCTCCCACAAATGGGACAGTACCCTGCTTGCCTCTGTACCCTCAAAGTTTAGCAGCAGCAGAACCAGCAGGTCTGCACAACACTGACGAACTCAAAGTCACTGTAGAGCTGAGCATGGGGGCACATGCCTGCAATCCCAGCCTCTCCGGAGGCTGAGGTGGAAGATTGCAAGCTCGAGGCCAGCCTGAGCAGCTTGGCGAGATTCTTTCTCAAAACTGAATTTAAAACGGATAAAGGTGTGCAGCTCAGTGGCTTGCCTACCATAGATCCAATCCCCAGCATTTAAAGAAAAAAAAAATCACATTTGACGGAATTATAGGGCTTGCTCCTGTCACCTAGAAAGTGGTTTCAGCAGAACTTAAAGGAGGTCTGAGATCTAGTAGGTGATGTGTGCGAATGCAGAGAAACCTGCTGGTCTGAGCGTGTTCCTCACTTGATCATGTTTATTCATCATTTCCCTGCAAGATCAAGGACCTGGATTCAATTCCCAGCACCACCGAAATCAAGTGTCACCCAGGTGCTGCAGGCAGCCCTCTGCCCCTTACATGAGACACACAGGAATGAGTGCGATCGTTAGGTGTGACCACTCACAGAGCATGGTTGGAGGTAGAAAAGAATCAGACTAACCCATAGCAAAACTATGACAGTCACCGGCTGGCCACCCTAGATGGCAGCCTGGGCTGGCTTGCTTGCTTGCTGTTTTCAATAGTAGGGATTAAATCTAGGTCATTTGTACTGAGCTACATCCCTAGCCTGTCTCTTATTTTTCAAGACAGAACAGAGGAAGCAGGAAGATGCGTTGGGGACCTGGAACCACCTCCATTTCTCGGCCTGATCCTAGGTTAAGAGTCCATAGGACCTGACACCCCCCACACTATACTACTCAATGGGGTGACCAGGGTCTTCCAACATTATGGGCTGTGTTCCCCGATGCCAGAAAACCCACCAACCCCCCCCCTCCCTGCCCAATATATGCTTTGGCTCTAAGCTCCAGTACCTCAAAATGTAACCTTTTTTGAAAATAGGGTCATAAGAGATGAAATCAGGTAATGAGGTCATACTAGAGAGAATGAGCCCCTCCTCCAAGATGACTGATGTCCCTATGAGATGGCCTTGTGACAGGACGTAGTAGTACATGTCTGTAATCCCAGCTCCTCTAGTTTAATGCCCTCTTGGGCAATTTAGCAAGACCCTGACTCAAAATAAAGTAACATAGTAACACATACATATAATCCTAGCAGTCAGGAGGCTGAGACAGAAGGATCACCAAGGGTTCCTGCCAGCCTAGCCTACATAGTGAGTTCAAGGCCAGCCTGAACTACATAGCAAGACCCCACACGTCCAAAAGAAGAAGAAAAACAAAATAAGAGGCTGAGGATAAATTTCAGTGGTAGAAGGTCCCTGTGTTCAATCCTCAGTACCTTGAAAAAGGGGGAGGCTGATGCAGACAGAGACACTCAGGAAGGCCATGTGACCACACAGGCAGAGACTGAAGTGCTAAAGCCCTAGGTCAAGGGCCACCAAGGACAGCAAGCAGCCACCAGAAGCTGGAGAGGGACAAGGAACGACCCTGAGAGCAATAAGTGTCAAGCAACAAGGACAGCCTCACTGCACCTCATTTCAGACCTGCGGTCCCCAGGACAGTGAGATGCTAAACCTGTGCTGCTCTAAGCCACCCAGTTTGTGGTCCTGGCTCTGGCAGTGCCCTGGTGACACTGCATCAGGAGCAGGACCATACTGTCCATGCAGAATGTGGAATGGATGCGCTCTGCAGGCAGTGGTAATGGCACCCCTAGGCAGGAGCGGGGCTCCTATGCCACCCACAGAAACACAGCTGCTAGGTGGGAAGGGCAGGGATGTCCTCTTCTGTCATCACACAGGGTTGGGGTGGTGATGGCTCAGAAACCCTTCAAGCTGGCATCCGGGTGGCAGGTGAACAGGGGAGCCCAGATTTTCTCATTCTTCGATCTGGGATGGGCAGCTAGACCCCGGGGTGACCAGAAAGCTCCTTGGAATCCAGGAGACAGAGACAGAGCTCCATCTGTCATTGCATTGTGGCCGGAGGAACAGGATGACAGGGCTCCTGGGCTCTCCCTGCAAGTGGCACCTGCCTTCCAGCAGGGCAAGGCCATGGGGGTGCTAGCTGGGCACAAGGGCTGGCTGGCGGGAACAGTTTGCACTGGTCCATGTGGGTGGGCGTCAGACTCACCGCCTCTGATTGGCCTGACCTCTTCCACACCTCAACTCAGTCCTCATGGTCAGTGAATTGTGCTGGGCCCAGGGAGGTCCAAACCCAGGGCACCCCGCCCCCTGCCCCCAGGCAAGCCCTGGCATCAGTCCAGGTAGACGATTATCTGGATCATGTTTATAGGGTTTAAGCTTGAGCGGGAGCAGATGCAGCATGAGCTGAGGATTTGAGGTTGGAGTGGACTGTTTAAAAGGGCCTTGCTTGCAAGAGGCTGGGACAGAAGCTAGCAGCGAAGTGGATGGAGCCCAGGGGAGGGATCGTGATGGAGCAGGACAAGAAGGGACAAGAGGGGGGCTTGTGCCCGCTGGGCAAGGTAAGCGGGCCCTGCCTCTATAGAACTCAAATGCTGGGATCCTCAGAGCCTGAGACTGACAGGACTGGTTCATTTGTAGGGCACCTAATTAGCAAACGAGTCTCCAGAGTCCCTTGACCCAGTTGTCACCGCAGGGAGATGCTGGTGGGTAGAGGGTCTGCATGCCCAACCCCACCCCCAGGGCACAGAGCAGAGCTCTTGGTGCTGACCCCAGGAGGCGGCAGGTGCTGGGACTTAGAGATAGTTCCAAGCCCAGATCCCCTAGTCCGTGTCCCAGCCCCCAGGTTACCTCTAGTGAGGCCCCGATCTAGGACAATGGGATGCTGTCACATAAGACTGTCCCCTGAGGTGGCACCACGTGTAGTGGTGCTGCCAGCCAGAGCCCCTGGGGCTGGGACTGAGATTTGGAAGGAGGATTGGGTCTCATTCTGAAGCAGCTCTGCAGAGTGGTACATCATCGAGGACCATGGTGAGAGCTGAGGGGACCAGTGGAACACTCCAGGGTGAGGGTGGTAGCCTACTGCCAGGGAGGGCCAAGGGGGGATCCCCACGCAGACCCAGTGTACCTGTCCCCAGGCAAGCTCGCCAGACCAGGAGGGCTTCTTCAACCTGCTGAGCCACGTGCAGGGTGACCGGATGGAGGAGCAGCGCTGTTCGCTGAAGGCTGGGGTAGGACAGACAACCGAGAGCGGTAAGCCTGGATGTGGGAATTCTGCAGGGGGGCGGACAGTGAATGGGACAGGGGCCCAAGGTTACTCAGTGGGGGCCTGTGAAGTGGAGAGCACAGGATAGGGAAGATGACCATGCCCATGTCTCTCTCCACGCAGAGGGTGACCCTGCACCTGAGATGGACAATCTTATGGACATGCTGGCCAGCACCCAGGGCCGCCGCATGGACGACCAGCGAGTGACGGTCAGCGCTCTGCCTGGCTTCCAGCCCATTGGCCCCAAGGTAGGAGAGGCCAGAAACACTTGCACTCAAGGACCCAGTCCTGTCTGCAGCCAGGAGGGATGTGCCCCCACCTTCTTCTGTGTCCATCACTTTCTGCCATGCAGGACTTACGGTAGGGTCAGAGCTAGAGAATTCATGGGTCATGCTCCCTACATCTGAGAGCTTTGGGGAGGCCAAAGGGAGAAAGAAAACAGGCACCCTCCTGGAGCAGCACCCCTCAGGGAGGAGGGCATGAGAGATCTCCCACAGGCTGGACACATCCACCATCCACCAACCCTTACACACCCTGGGTTCTCATGCAGACCCCACAGAGAGCCTCAAGACCTGCCACCTCACTCCCAGACTGTACCCTAATGGCAGATCACTGAGGGAAACACAGGAAAATGCTTCATGGGGACCCAGAAGGCAGGCACACACCAGGAGCTGGGACCCGGATTCCCTGTGTCTGTGTCACCTCTGCCCTGCATTGCTCTCCTTTTCTTCATCCCACTAACCCCCTTTATCCACAGGATGGAGTGCAGAAACGAGCTGGGACACTCAGCCCTCAGCCCCTGCTCACCCCCCAAGACCCCAGTGCGCTCAGCTTCCGCAGGAACAGCAGCCCCCAGCCCCAGACACAGGGCCCCTGAGGATCTCAACCATCCTGGGCCCCACTGAGCCCCCGTAAGCAAATAAAACATTTGCATGAGCAATCAGGAACTGAGTCTGTTTTATTTCGTTGGCAGAAGGACTGGGATTAAAATGCTCGGTGGTCTCAGGAGCTCTGCTGGGCAGCTCGGAGGAGTTTCTCCTCCCGCCGCTTCCGCATTCTCTCTTTGAATTCTTCTAGCTCTTGGTGCTAGGGTTGGGGAAGGGAGTGGAACAGGAAGGAAAGTGGGGTACACACCTCAGGGCCTTGTCCCTCTCCCACCGATCTGCCCTTGGCTTCAGACATTAGTGTCTACACTAGGAGTCCCAGGCCAATAACAACCAGGGTCCAAGCGTGATCAGGGTGATGCTACATAGAAAAGGCAGCAGGCCCTCTGCACTCAGTTCCCTGCCTATGGCTGTGGGTGTAACTTACATTAGACCCCATTGTAACCGCAGGGACCCAACACCCTCTGTCCTTCTGGTAAGAGGAAAATTAGGTTCTTACCTGGCCCTCCTTCTCAGGCGGCCATAGCTCCCTCTGTGGGGACAAAGACACAATTTGGGGGCACAAGCCATAGAAACCTCCAGCACCTCCTACCCAAGGCAGGGTTGCTTCACTGGGGACAAACAATGGTTTCCAGCAAGCAGAAGCTCCATCTCCTTTCAACTCCTTAGAATGACCCGGTGAGCGCTCTCCTTATGCCCACCTTGCGCTGGACGACGTAACTCTCAAACCAGTCAGCCTGATTGGAGATCCAGAACATGGCCACAGGGAAAGTGAGGTACACAATCATCTGCAAAACCAGCAGGTACATAAGCAAGCCTGGTTCTGCCGCCTCCCCCAAAACCCAGAGTTCCTACCTGTTCTCCCAGTCTTCATAATCCTGTGAGCCCAGAAACATATCTAAGAAAAACCCGCGCGCGCACACACACACACATACAGGCGCGCGCGTGCGCGGCCCCAACAGTGTAAGGGCATCTATTACAAAGACATTCCCTTAACCTCATCACCTCTACCGCCTCGACCCCTTCCATCCGGGAGTACCCCACCTCCATCCCGAGACCGCAACCTTCAAATCTACTCCCCTGTGCTTCAGAGTCTCCCCACAAAGGCACACCCGCCCATTCTGCGCACGAGGGCTCCCTCAGGGTCTCGAGATTGCCTTCTTTCAGCCCTCTCCTTAGTTCACCCCTCCCTGCCGCCCTAACTCAGATCGGCCCTCTTAAGATTTCCCAAACCCGGACGCTCACTCGGATCTCCCACAACCCAGAGCTCTCTCCGCAGAGTCCCTTAAATTGTAATGGTCTCTCAAATCTCAAAGTACTTTCTCTCTAGGAACTCTCCGTTTGTGTTCACTCTTTTTCATACCCTCATGCTTAAATTCGACTTCTCCCTCCCACCGCAACCTCCAACCCACCCCGCGCTCACTGACCCGAAACACCTCGAGCTTCACCCCCATCTCGCTTCTTTCAGGCTACACAGACACTTCCGCCCAAAGTCGATCCTCCAATAAGGCAGTAGCTCATTGGTCCTTCCAGGGTACCAGTGTTGAATCTGATTGGGCGAATGATGACGTAATCTTAAAGCGCCTCTTTTCTGATTCCGGTCGCGGGCGTCGTTCCCTAGAAAGTCAACAGCGCTTGTCGTGCAGCCAAGAGAATGCAGCCAATAGAAAACGGATCTGTCGTGGAGGGGCGGGCCTTTGAGCGTAAACGTTATAAGTAAGCGACTCTTATTTGTACCCGGAGGACCAGGAAAATGGTGGTGATGGCGCGCCTTTCGCGGGCCGAGCGGCCGGACCTTGTCTTTGTGAGTCCGCATTGGGGTCGGCGATGCCCTGCTTGGGAGCATCGATAGATCTGGGTGCTGTGGGAGATCAGACTCTGTCCGTCCGAGGGATATAGGTCAAAACTCTGCCCAACCATTGGGTCACTCAGAAAGCCCGGGGGACGGATGGTGATGTTCACACCGGACCGATCAGAAATAAAGATCTGTTCTTGGAAGCGATGGCTCGAATAAAGACATGTTGTAGAGCTTAAGAGGATGATGTGTCGTCCCTGGACGGAAGCTGGGAAATGGGTGTGAAGGGGGATCGCATAAGTGTATATTGGAACAGCTGAAGAACTGGTGTTGAAAGAGAAGGCGTGGTGACTAGGCTAGGACTCTGGTTTATAGTCTGAAGGCTTGGTGTTCTGCACAGCGACCTAGGTCTGATTCAGAGCGTCTCGTTTTCGGGGGTAAAGGCTTAGTGTCTGGGGTTGCCTCAGGAGTTTAGGAGGTAGTTTCCTGGAGTGCGAGGAAAGACCTAGTGATGTGTAGTCTGTCAGACGATGGTCCGTATTTTTGGTGTTTTCATCAGATTCTTGGTGTGCAGGGTGAAGGGTTCTACGTCTGGTCTTTACCTGTTCTGAGATAAAGTCTTGGCGTCAAAGTTCTAGGACAGAGTTGAGGTAGATTCTGGCCAGTGAGATCCAGACAGGCCAGCAGCTTGGTGTCTAGACCTAAGTGGCACCTGTGCCCGGGGTGAAGATGGGTCAGGCGGTGACAGTGGGAGCCTGGAGGGACCAAAGACCTGGTATGTGGGAAGCAGTATGTTGTGTGGAGGGAGGGCCCTTGTTTCTAAGGAGTCTGTTGATCTAACCGAGAGTGGATGTGGGGTTTGGAGCGCCAAAGCCTGATATCTGAGCAATGATCTCATTGTCTGACAGAGAATTTTGATGTCTGAGAAGTCTCACTGTCTGAGTCAGATTCTGGGAAGGTGAATTATAGGGGCAAAGGTCCAAACCAGCATCTCACTTTCCAGTTGTCTGGTGATGTAGCTTCCACAGTGAGCAGTATGGTCCAGACTGGGACTCAAGTCTGGAATTTGGGCCTGGACTCCAGGAATGGGCTGGGCTTAGGCTCCGAGGATATGTTTCCATTCTTTTTGTCCCTCCGTCCTGGCAGGAGGAAGAGGACCTTCCTTACGAGGAGGAAATCATGCGGAACCAGTTCTCAGTTAAGTGCTGGCTCCGTTACATCGAGTTCAAACAGGGGGCTCCGAAGCCTAGGCTCAATCAGCTTTACGAGCGGGCACTCAAGCTCCTGCCCTGTAGGTGGGTGTCCATCTGGCTGTCTGCCCACGAGCCCCTGCCCTGTCCAGTCATAACAGAACCAGCAAGCAATGTATGACTGCTGTGTATTCTGTCACCCAATGTGCCACACTCTTTTCCTGATGTTCTAATCCTTTCCTATCCCATCTTCTGATGCTTATACCTCCTCAGTCCCTTTCACCCCACAGTTACCTCCTGGGGCCAGGAGAAAGGTTCAGGAGGATCTGTAACCTCAGTGTCTGTCCTCTGTCCCCTTCTGTACCTCAGCTACAAACTCTGGTACCGCTACTTGAAGGCGCGCCGGGCACAGGTGAAGCATCGCTGCGTGACTGACCCCGCTTATGAAGACGTCAACAACTGCCACGAGAGAGCCTTTGTGTTCATGCACAAGGTAAGGAGCAGGCTCGGGGGAGATTCGGGGCTCAGGGATCCGCGGAGGTGGGCAGAGCAAGGGCTGGGCTCAACACAGGAGAGACAGAGGACTGCCGTCCTCTTGCTTCTGGGCACCAGCCATGGGGGTGGACTCAGTCCCAAAACTGGAACTTCTGTGCAATGCTGTGTTTATGCCCCAGTGCAGCGTGACTGTAAAACTCTGGTGTTGGAAGCCAGGCTGTGGGGCGTGGGGCTCAGACCTACCTGGCTATCTCTTCCCACGCTTCCAGATGCCTCGTCTGTGGCTCGATTATTGCCAGTTCCTGATGGATCAGGGACGAGTCACACACACTCGCCGTACTTTTGACCGGGCCCTCCGGGCGCTGCCTATCACACAGCACTCTCGAATCTGGCCCCTATACCTGCGCTTCCTGCGTTCCCACCCACTGCCTGAGACAGCTGTGCGGGGCTACCGACGCTTCCTCAAGGTGAGTCATGTCCAGCTGCTGTGCCAGGTCCCCGGTCTGGAACCTTCAGAGCCTGGCACACTGGGACAGTAGCCCTGTGTGGGATGTCACCCGACAGACAGGATGCAGGAAGAGGGCTCCCTTGGACACAGAGCTTTCATCTGTGATACATTCCTCTGTTTCCCAGATAGTTGGTGGTCACTCGAGCTGCAACCTTGTCCAGGCTGGAAGTGGGAGGCGGGCAGGCCAGGGAGCACAGCCAGGCACCCTTTCCACTCTGCATCCTCCACAGGTGCTCTTCAGGTAGAGCCCTGGGACAGAAGCAGGTCCTGGCTGGTACCAGCCAGAGCATTGGCATCAGTGCAGGAAAAATCAGGACTGGGGTTAAGCCAGTAGGGCTGGGGTGGGACCAAGCCCAGGCTGGACCACACAGGCTGAGGCTGGCTCTGAGGCAGGAGGCCCAGAGTCACTGAGACAGGAAGGGACTGTGGCCCTGCAGCCCCAGTAACCTCCAGGGGCATTACTGGGTCCCCAGCTGAGTCCTGAGAGCGCCGAGGAGTACATTGAGTACCTCAAGTCCAGCGACCGGCTGGATGAGGCGGCACAGCGCCTGGCCACTGTGGTAAACGACGAGCGCTTTGTGTCCAAGGCCGGCAAATCCAACTACCAGGTGAGCCCTGGGTGAGACCAGGCAGTGGCAGCCGGGCTTTTCCCTCCTGGATTAAGCTGAGTGGCCCTTGCTCCCTCCGTCCCTTGCAGCTGTGGCATGAGCTGTGTGACCTCATCTCCCAGAACCCAGACAAGGTGCAGTCCCTCAATGTGGACGCCATCATCCGCGGCGGCCTCACCCGTTTCACCGACCAGCTAGGCAAGCTCTGGTGCTCGCTGGCCGACTACTATATCCGTAGCGGCCACTTTGAGAAGGTATGTGGGCACCTGGACCTGTGCTGGGCTTCAGACAAGGCAGGACACCTCCAGCACTGGGGGACACGTCTCTCGTGTGCTGTGTGTGATGCATGTGTGCCACCCCAACGGTGAGGGCATGCACATCTTAGGAGAAGCCAGGCCTGGGCTCTAGAGGTGGCTCTGTTCCCTCCTGGCTATGTGGCCCCAGCCTTCAAGAGCCTGGGTCAGGAAACAGAGGTGACCTTGAATTCTTGAGAGGTTGGCACAGTGATGCAGCCTGAGATGGGGTGGCATGAGTGTGGCTGTCCTCGCCATCTGGCTCTGCTCCTTGGGACAGGCAGCAGGCAGGGCTTTGGAAGTCTCCAGGGGGATGGGCGTTGCCACTGCAGCCTCTGGAAAACTGGGAGTGGGGCAGGAGAGCCAGTGCAGACTAGCAGGAACCAGCACAGGCGGGGTAGGATGAGGCTGTGCTCTCTGGTTGCCAGGACATTGTGAGCTGCAAGAGGGGTCATGAGGACATGGGCTTTGGGGCAAAGATGGAGCTCTCCACAAGAAAGCTGAAGTTAGGATTCTGCAAGGTGGACCTGTGGGGGCCACGTTGGCCCTGTTTGGCTCCCAGGTCTTACAAGATGCTAAGTGCTTTGTGCAGGCATCTTTGTTGGGCTTTGAGGTCACCCTGCACAAGGCTGTCCTTTGTGGGTGGCCAAGGAGGCCCGAGCTCCCCCGTTCAGCCTGGCAGCCCTGGGCTGCAACCCCCAGCTCTGTGCTGGGGTCACTACTCGGAGTCTGACGGTGCTGGGGGCACCCAAGGGAGACTGAAAGGGGACTGTGGTTTGGGCCCAGGGCTGAGAGTCCTGCTGCGTGTCGCTTGGCATCCCTGTACCTGGGCTCCCAGGCTCCCACCGTCACTGCTGTCTCAGCGCCACTGTCTCTACAGGCCCGGGATGTGTATGAGGAGGCCATCCGCACCGTGATGACCGTGCGGGACTTCACACAGGTGTTCGACAGCTACGCCCAGTTCGAGGAGCGCATGATCGCAGCCAAGATGGAGACAACCTCAGAGCTGGGGCGCGAGGAGGAGGGTGAGGAGGCGAGGGGCAGGAACAGGGAGGGAGTCAGGGCTCTGGGATGGCTGGGGCCGGAGGGAGTCAGGGCTCTGGGATGGCTGGGGCCGGACTGGCTTCTCAGGCTTGGCAGGAGCCTGGTGGACGAGGGCTTCAGAGCAGTGGGACAGATGGACTGCGTCCACTGTGGTCAGCACCCACCCTGTGCCCACCCCGGTCCTCCCAGACGATGTGGACCTGGAGCTGCGCCTGGCCCGTTTCGAGCAGCTCATCAGCCGGCGGCCTCTGCTGCTCAACAGCGTCCTGCTGCGCCAGAACCCGCACCACGTGCACGAGTGGCACAAGCGCGTGGCCCTGCATCAGGGCCGCCCCCGGGAGGTATGTGACGGGCACCCCAGCCTTGATACGCTGCCTTCCGTGGGGCCCCAGCCTCCCCAGCTGACCTCCAGCCTCCCCCAGATCATCAACACCTACACAGAAGCTGTGCAGACTGTGGACCCTTTCAAGGCCACTGGGAAGCCCCACACCCTGTGGGTGGCGTTCGCCAAGTTTTACGAGGACAACGGGCAGTTGGATGACGTGAGTGCCATGCTCGTGTGTGTGTGTGTGTGTGTGTGTGTGTGTGTGTGTGTGTGTGTGAGTGTGTGAGGTGTGGTCACCTGCGTACATGCGTCCAGTGTGGGGCTGCAGCATCCTAGCCTCTGCCACCCCTGCAGGCCAGAGTCATCCTGGAGAAGGCTACCAAGGTGAACTTCAAGCAGGTGGATGACCTGGCCAGCGTGTGGTGCCAGTGCGGGGAGCTGGAGCTGCGGCATGAGAACTATGATGAGGCCCTGCGGCTGCTTCGGGTGAGCACGGAACGTGGGGACCAGGTGCAGGGCAGGGCACAGGGAACAGCAGCCCAGGACTGGCCCCAAGCGCCTCCTCATCCCCTGCAGAAGGCCACAGCACTGCCCGCCCGCCGGGCTGAGTACTTTGATGGCTCGGAGCCCGTGCAGAACCGAGTGTACAAGTCCCTGAAGGTGTGGTCCATGCTTGCCGACCTGGAGGAGAGCCTGGGCACCTTCCAGGTGAGCTGCTACTGGGGAGCCGCACAAAGTGGTCAACCCTCAATGCACCCCACCCCGTGGCCTGACCCTTGCCCTTCCCTGCAGTCCACCAAGGCTGTATACGACCGCATCCTGGACCTGCGCATCGCCACACCCCAGATCATCATCAACTATGCCATGTTCCTGGAGGAGCACAAGTACTTCGAGGAGAGCTTCAAGGTGAGCAGCGGGTGGACCGGCAGACACCCGGGGCCCAGGCTCACAGAGTAGGTGCCTGTAGACCTCTCCTGGAGCCCTAAGTGCAGTGTCACCGGGGCTGCAGCTCCTCCCAAGGCCTCTCGGTGGCGACATCCGGCTTTCCTGGCTGTGTTTAATGAGGTTACCCGTGTGTCCCTGTCACTGTCTCCTCAGTCACCACAGGTGACAACTCCTTTAATGACCTCATTTAACTTAACAGCCTGTCTGAAGGACTCTCATGTCCATAGAGTAGGATACCCAGGCGGAGGATGCTGGTGCCGTGGGTGTGCCCATCCTAACCCCTGCCCGCCATGCTACCAGTGGGTTGTATGTCCCGAGGGGCCTTCCCATGGCCATGTGCTGAGGCCCTGGCCCTCCTGGTCTTTGGGTTGGGGCTAGTGCAGTCTGATGAGGAAATGGGGTCCGAGACCACCACTGTGGGGCAGGGGGACACTCAAGAGACCCAGCAGTGCCCCATAGGCATTGACCCAGGCCTTAGTGGTGCCAGCAGTTATACCCAGCACGCACTCACATGGTCCTCGCCTGGCACAGGCCTACGAGCGTGGCATCTCGCTGTTCAAGTGGCCCAACGTGTCGGACATCTGGAGCACCTACCTGACCAAGTTCATCGCCCGCTATGGAGGACGCAAGCTGGAGCGGGCGCGGGACCTCTTCGAGCAGGCACTGGATGGCTGCCCACCCAAATACGCCAAAAGTGAGGACGGAACGAACGGCGGGTCCGAGTCCCCAGGGCCTGGGGATGGCGGGGGGGGGGGGAGCCAACACTGAACCCAAGGTGTGCCCACTTGCCCCTGTAGCCCTGTATTTGCTGTATGCGCAACTGGAGGAGGAGTGGGGCCTGGCTCGGCATGCCATGGCGGTGTACGACCGCGCCACCCGGGCCGTGGAGCCCACCCAGCAGTACGACATGTTCAACATCTACATCAAGCGGGCCGCTGAGATCTATGGCGTCACCCACACGCGGGGCATCTACCAGAAGGCTATCGAGGTGCCCGCCCAGGAGCAGGAGGCAGTCTGGTGCCACTCCAGCGATGGCAGCCATGGGGGGACCTTCCAGGGTCTCCCCCAGGTCACACCTGTCCTCCCGCCCAGGTGCTGTCGGATGAGCACGCGCGAGAGATGTGCCTGCGCTTTGCCGACATGGAGTGCAAGCTGGGAGAGATCGACCGCGCCCGCGCCATCTACAGCTTCTGCTCCCAGATCTGCGACCCGCGGGTGGGGCTGGGCCCAGGGAGGGCTGGAGGGGAGGGGCATGGGGTGCCATCCAACCACTCTTGCTCTCGCATCCGGCCCCCAGACAACCAGCGCCTTCTGGCAGACGTGGAAGCACTTCGAGGTACAGCATGGCAACGAGGACACCATCCGGGAGATGCTCCGCATCCGCCGCAGTGTGCAGGCCACCTACAACACGCAGGTCAACTTCATGGCCTCACAGATGCTCAAAGTGTCAGGCAGCGCCACAGGCACCGGTGAGCAGCTCCGGCAGGAACAGGGCCATCCCCAGGCGCTTGGCCTTGCCCTGCTGCCTCCGTGGGTGACCTCCCTGTCCCCTTAGTGTCCGACCTGGCCCCAGGGCAGAGTGGCATGGATGACATGAAGCTGCTGGAGCAGCGGGCGGAGCAGCTGGCGGCTGAGGCAGAGCGGGACCAGCCCTCTCGAGCCCAGAGCAAGATCCTGTTTGTGAGGTAAAGCCTGGGAAGGGAGGGAGGTGGAGGGCAGGTGGGCAGGGCACCCCTCCAAAAATCCCAGGCTGCTGAAACAGCCTACATTTCCAGGAGCGATGCATCCCGGGAGGAGCTGGCCGAGCTGGCCCAGCAGGCGAACCCCGACGAGATCCAGCTGGGGGAGGATGAGGACGAGGATGAGATGGACCTGGAGCCCAATGGTCAGGGGGTGCCCAATGGCAGGCACATGGGAGGGGAAGCCACCCTGCAGGGGGTGACCCTGTCTGCTTTCCCTGCAGAGGTCCGCCTGGAGCAGCAGAGTGTGCCAGCTGCCGTGTTTGGGAGCCTGAAGGAGGACTGAGCGGCCCTGCCCAACCCCCTCCCTCCCCACCCCTGGCCTGTAATACAGCCTGCCTTTGTACATAATGGTCTAAGTCTGGTTCCTTCTGCCACCCAGGTGTCCCCAAGGGTTGCCAGCACAGGAGGGCCTGGTCCTGGGCCCTGATTGGCTGGGGTAGGGGGTGGGGCAGCCCAGCCAGGGCCAGTGCCAGTGCCAAGCAGAGGCCCCACCCTCACCCCTGAGCCAATTCCTCCGCAGCCTAGAGCCTGGAGACTTCTGCACAATAGCTGCCTGGAAGCACCTGGCACCCCAGGTCTCCCTCGACCCTGCCTGGCAGGGTCCTTCCAGGGCCACCCCCAAACCCTAAGTCCTGGAGTCAGGCAGCCCCTTCTTCCTGTGGACTCATCAGCAAGGTGCTCCTGTCCCTGGCAAAAAGGCCAGGAGCTAGGGACTGTCTAGGGTGTGGCCCTCAGCCCTAAGCTCAGGGAAGCCATTGAAAGCTCTAAGCTGTTAAGGGGTTTTAGGCATCAGGGACATAATCAGATTTGTTCTTTAAGCAGGTCACACGGGCTGCTGGGTGGCAGAAGGCAGCTTGGCCTGGGGCAGGGGGTGGTCATGAGACTGGAGAGGGCTTTAGGCCGTGAGCTGTGCACAACAGGGCAGCACTGGGGAAGCCAGGCCTAGCCTGGGTCCAGGCTGCACGGCCGGCTCTGCACCTAGATACCTGGTGGCAGCAACCAGAGCCTCGGGGGTGGGGCTTAGACGAGGGAAGCACAGGATCCCTGGCCAGGATGCAGTAACCAAGCCTAGAAACAGATGAGCTGGCCCGGGGAACTCGGGATCGAGTTAGAATCTGGCCTCAGGCCAGAGGCCAGGGACACTAGCCACACAGGAACCAATGCCAGGGCAAGACGCAGGGGCACAGGGCAGGGGAGCCAGACTCAGCTGAGAAGCGTCCCTGGGGAGGAGGGGTTGGCAGAGCTGGGCGCCAGCCACATGGGGTCATCAAGGGGGCAGAAGAGACAAATGAGCGCTGGTGGAGAGACCGAAACCCAGGCAGCCTCAGGGAGGTGACCCGGCTCCACCGGTCTTCCAGTTATTTTATTCAAGAAGGTGGGGAGGACAGACAAGGGGACCCAGCTGAGCTCTGAGTCCCTGAGACTCCCAGCTCAGCCCCCACAGCAGGACCAGACTCAGGGGTGGGGGCTCCAGCCCCACCCAGACGCCGATGGAGACGGACAGAACATGGGACAACGCCTCCGGGAGGGCACTGCCCCCAGCGGGCTATTTCGGGGTGCTGCCCCCTTTCTTGGGAGTGGTGGGCTTTTTGCTCTGCCAGAGGTGTCCCTGGATGGTGAAGGCGTCCACGCTCATGGACATGGTCTTGGCCGGGATCTGGGTGAAACGCTTGCGGTCAGAGTTGTACTTGTAGATGCCTTCGACCATGGCAGGTGTGACGGTGCGGGGTCCGTAGCCTGCCAGCCGTGACAGCTCCTCAGTCTCCCCTGACAGTGTGTAGAGCGCCCGGAACTGGCAGCTGGAGTCCCGGAAGAGGATCAGGAAATGGTTGGCCTTGCTCTTCTCAATCTCCTAGAGAGGTTGGAATTTTTGAGCGATGCAGGCCTTGGATTGGGCCCTACCGCACGCGCCCCCGCCCCCACCCCCACCCCCACTCCCACTCCCACCCCCACCCTACGCAGCTGCAGGCCCGCCACATGGCCCAGGCCCCGCCCCCAAACAGGCCCCGCCCCTTCACGCAGGCGCAGCCCACCTCCAGGATGCGGTTCTTCTGGGGCTCGTTCACCTTGCCCGCCAGGCAGCAGTGCGACAGGGCGTTGTGGATGATGAATTTGTTGGACTTGGCGCTGGGCTCCTTGTACAGTCGTGGACCTGGAGGGCGGGATGGTCAGCACGGTCAGTGAGATGAGCACAGGCCACAGGGTGCTGCCGTCACTCCGCCCTGCGCTTCCACTTACCTGTGTACTCAGGCACCGAGGCCGGGGAGGAGGCATTGCTGCCGTTCTCCCACTCGCGGTCCCGGGGGCCCTGCAGCCGGCTTGGGGACATGAGGCCTGACGGCGACGGAGCCCTGCAGTTGGGGCAGGGTGGGAAGGACGGGGAGGGGTGAGCAGTGGGCACGGACTTCCGGTACAGAAGGGCAAGGTGAGAGGCAGGCGTGTACCCCAGATGTCCCCACAGGGCCTGCCGGACTCGTCCCTGGCATGGCCCACTGCGTCAGTGTGCAGAGGCACATTCCTGGGATCTCCACCTCCTCGGTATCCCCTGTCCACGCTATCCCCTGTCCACGCCAAAGCCCACCCTGGTTCACGCATGGCCCTTAAAGGGCACCAGCTTGAGACCCCTGCCCACCCCACTGGCAGCACTCACCGGGACGTGGACCTCTTCACACCGAGGTGATTGGGGGCCTCGTTGGCCACGGTGGATAGGGACAGGGTAGACTGTGAGTAGACCTTGCTGAGCCTCGAGCCTGGGAAAGGACAGCTCAGTCAGGCCCCACCAAGCCCTGGCCCTGCTGCCAGCCATGGTACAGGGTCCGCCCGCCAAGACTGCAGCCCACTGATGCTGCCCTGGCCCACTGTGCCCTCACCCCACATACCCGAGGAAGAGAGGGCCCCTCCCCTACCACAGCCCCCCACATGCCTGTGGAAGCCCTTGGGAAACAGCTAGAGTCACGCTCCACAGCAGACCTCACCACCCATATCCTGCACCCTCACCGTGACCCCCAGCCATGGTCCTCACCCAGCAGGCCACGAGCTGGGCTTCGCGCCAGGGCCGAGTCATCACAGCAGCCAGAGCGTGGCCGGGGGGCCCTCCGCCCACCCCGACCTGGCCCTCCGGCCCCCACAGCCCGGGGCCTCAGCACCTTCTCCAGGTCATCCATCAGCTTTAGCTGGGCCCGGCGCTCATACTCCAGCCTTGTGAATTCTCCTCGACGGGGTCCCACCTCCTCCTCTGCTGGGACCCGAGAGGCTGGGGCCGGGACCGGGCCGGGGGCCGGGGCTGCCGCTGCCGCCATGAGAGCTACAGGAGCTGAGGGTGCCGACGCAGGAGCTATGGGAGCCACGGGGGCCCCGTCATGTACCAGCCTGCAGATCCAAAATCGAGTGGTCAGAACCAGCCTGGAGCCACCACCAGGGACAGAGGCCAGGGACCCCCACCCCGGGGCTGGGCCCGGCCGTCCCCACCTCACAGCCTCCTCTCTCCGCTGCTCCTTCTCAGCCTCCTGCCACTGCTTGCGCTTTCGGGCCTCCTCTGCCCGCCGCTGTTGCCGCTCCAGCAGGCTGGCCCGCTTCTGGGCCATCTCGTCCTCGGGCTTGTCTTTGTCCTGGGGAAGACAGGAGTCCAGGTGGCTGCTCCTCCCCACCTGGCCGGCCACCTGCTTGTCTTTTAGAAGTGATTTCCATGTATTCAGCTGGTGCATACTCTGTGTATACCCCAGAGTGAGAGGGAAGTCCTGGGTGCCCAGTGGGAAGAATGTGCATGGGGCCGTACTTTGGGGTAAGACCTACCCTACCATACCCTGGAAGGGCACCAGACCTGACTCACACCTGCTGCCTCAACCCAAGGCAGAGGCATGGGGTGACAATGTTCCAGGAAGTGAGAACTATAAGTGCAAAGGCCCTGAGGTCAGAACCAACTTGGCAGAGAGAGAATGGGAGAACAATGAGGTCAGAGATGAGGACAGAACTACACAATGGGAAAGGCTTTCATCCTAAGAGCAAGGAGGAGAAGCCCAGTCCCTGACTGCTCAGGGGAAAATGGTCAGGGCCTGGGGAGGCAGCAGACAGCTCAGGCAACTGTACAGGCAGGGGATGCTAAGCCTAACCCTGGGAGCCAAGCCTGTGTTAACGGAGAATGACCCAACATGGGCAGGGTCAGAAGGTGGCGAGGCACACTAAGAGGAAACACCACAAAAGCCCTGGGCCTGTCTGTCCAACCAACCGCCCCCACCACCTGTCCACCACTCAGCCTTCAACCACTTGTCCATCCATCTACCATCCAGCTCTCCCGTCCTTCCATCCGCCCCATTGTTCTGTACGGCTGGCCGCCCATTCCTTTCTGTTCATTCATACCTGGCTATCACCCCAGCCAATCTACTACCCCCTCACCACTGATCCACCTGCCCACTTTCTAGAGTCCATCTTTTCACCTGTCTGTCCACCCACCTACCTACCCATCCTTCTACCCCTTCCTTGTATCCAACCACTCTATCCATCCGTTTGTCCACTTGTCAATCCAATCGACCCATCGACCCATCCACCTACCTATCCCTCTACCCCTTATATCTAACCACCCTATCCATCTATTATACTTACCCATCCCTCCACTTTCTATCCAACTACCCAGTCCATCTATGTGCCCACCCACCCACCTTCTATGCACCCTTTTACCTGTCAATCCACCCACCCACCCATCCATCCGCTGCCATTGTATCCAACCACTCAATCCATCTATTCGTCCATCTACACATCCAATCCCTCTCCCCATCCATCTACCCACCTTCCATCCTTTGTCCACCAGCCCGCCTATCCACCAGGAAAGCCCCTAACCCTCTCTCTACTCACCTCACTGTACCTAAGCCCACCCCAGATGTCCCCACTTCTTGGCCATCTGTCTATCCCGTCCCCCCCCCTCCTGCTCAAGTGACTGGCTCACCTTATAGAAGAATCCAAGCCCAGTCCGGGGCTCTCCCTCAGAAGACACCTCCTCCTCCAAGGAATCCTCAGCCCCGGGGGGGCTCCCATCTCCGTCTGCCTCCACAGCAGGATCTCCCAGGCTGGCCAGGGGGATCTCTATGAGGGCAGGCCGGGTCACGGGCTCCTCAGGTGGCATCTCCTCCGCCAGGAGGATGGAGGAGCGCGTTTGTACAGGCACCTGGCTTGGTGAAAACTTGCGCAAGTGGGGGAGACTGTCTACATCATTGGGGGGCGTGAGCACCCGGGTCAGGGGCGCCAGCCTCAGCTCTGCCGGCCGTGCATGTTTGGGACTTCGAGATGTCGGGTTGGGGCCAGGCCCTGGGCTGCGCCGGGCGGCCGGGGCTCGCCGGGCAGGGCTGGGGGATGCAGCTTTGGGTCCTGTCGTGGGACCGGGGATGACCCAGGCAGCAGGCGGCGGGGCAGGTCCAGGGGCCTCCGGTGGGGCTAGAAGCCGCTGCTGCTGGTCCGTGAGCCTCTGCATGTCCCGCTGCAGCGAGCTCAGGGCGGCGCTCAGCTTGCTGACCGCTAGGTTGTAGTCCCCCAGCCCCTCAGGGGGCTCAGGGCCCAGCTCCGCAGAGAAGGTCACCGACTTGGTCCGTGAGGACGGCTCGCCCTGGCCCTCACCTGCTGGCCGCTCCCCTCCAGCGGGCCCAGCGTCAGCCTCCACCTCCGCCTCCCCAGCGGCCTCCCGAGGTTGCACTTGCAGGAAGGCGCTCTTGCCCAGCCGCTGGCGGTGCTTGGCAAAGATGGCTTCGATGCGACGCTTCTGGGCCTCTATGGCCCGGCGTTTCTCCTCCAGTCGGGCTCCCAGTTCACTCATCTCTGAGCTTAGGGCCTCAGGTGCTATCGGTGTAGAGTTGGGGGACCCTACTCCAGCCTCCTCGGCTTTTACAAGCTGTTTCTTGCGTTCAGCAAAGCTGGTCATTTTGACTTCAGAGTTGGTGGCTGCGGGGGACAAAGCAGCCGCCTTCGGGGACCCCTCTGCTGGGGCTGGTGGCTTCAATACTTCCCTTGCTGGGCAAGAAGACGGTTTCAAGGGGACCTCTGGATGGGACACATAAACAGGTGGTTTGGGGAGCCTATCAGAAAGCAGTTTTGAGGCCCCCATAGGTGGGTAGGAGGAGGACAGTGGCGGTTTTGAGGAGCCCTCAGGAGAGTGGAGGTAGAAGCTGCCATCAGCAGCACCATCTGGGAGAAGCCGGGGCTCGGCACTGTGGATGATCTGCAAGGCCTCCTCAATGGTGGGCAGATCGCCGGGCTCTGGGGTTGGCTGGGCGGGGGTCCGAGCTGCGGGCACTGGACGCGGGGGGCCCAGGCTGTCCGAGCTGACTGAGCGCAGCAGGACGGGGTCTCCCATGACGATGTCCACATCGCTGTCCAGGCCAAAGGGGGTGCTGAACGACACAGCCTGGGAGAGGGGACGGCTGGACGGCCAGAGGGATGGGTCAGCCCCTGGAGCCACCTCCATCCCGCCCGACCTGGCCCGGCCTGGCCCTGCCACCCATACTCAAGGGGCCCGCACACATGCTCACCTGAGCTGACGGTTCCAGGCCTTGCCGAGGGCCTCCATGTGGGACATGGACGGGGAGGACTTCAGGGAGCCTAAGGAGGGGCAGAGTGGTCACCATGGGGTCACAGGGCCCTGGGTGTGTCAGGCTTCCCCGAGAGACTGCTGTGTACCCGTGAGGGGTCATTAAGTGTCTAGCAGAACAGGGGTTTCCAGAAACTGGCACTAAAGGGTGTCAACCAGGAAGTCACCCAGGGGCTCCAGATAGACCCAGGGGAAGCCCACTGGAAGGGTCACGAGAGAATGCTGCGGCATCTTTGTGGGGAGGTACCAGTGACAGAAGCCTCCCCGACTCCTCACCTGTGGATCCCCGAAGTGGGGACTGAGAGCCGCCAGGTGACAGGAGTGGGTGACGGAAGTTGAAGACAGGAGAACTGGGGAGAGACAGACTTTAATCTTGGGACGCCCCCCACCCCAACCTCTCCCAGGTGCCCCACCCATGCCAGCTCCCCAGGGCTGAGATTACCCCATACCTGCTGCCACTATTGTTCTGGGAGGGGGAGGCCTCGGTGCCCCAGGGGGAGGTGGCTGCGGCACAGAGCAAAGGGTCAGGTGGGGCGTGGCCTCCCAGCCCCCTCCGGAACCCTGGCCTCAGGACCTTAGGCTCACCATGCCCATCGGGTAAGTCCTTGGCCTGTACGAAGTCGGGTTTCAGCACCTCGAAGCATGTGTACATTTCGGCGAGCAGCACCACCAGGTTGACCTGGAGGTGGGATAGAGGGTCAGCCTCGCCCTGTAACAGCCCTGGATGCCCATGTCAGCACCCCTCAGCCCCAAGCTGCCATACCTTGAGGGGCGGCGGGACGTAAAGCAGGTCTTCAAGGGACAGTGGGCAGCCACGGGGGAGGCGGGAGGCACAGAAATCCTGCACCAGCTGCAGGTTGTACAGGCTGTCGGCCACTGACATGGGGTCCTTGAGGCAGACCTCTGCAGGGACAGCAGGCCCAGGTCTCCACTCTGTGAAGGGCTCAGGGCCCCAGGGGGCTCAGCCACCTCCACACAGGGAGGATCTAGTGCAGGCCAGGGGCTCTCCGCAAGGGGTACCTCAGCCCCTCAAGAGCTCAGCTGAGGCTAGACACAGAGGCACACACCTGTAACCTCAGGTCTGAGAGGATCACTGTGAGTTCAAGGCCAGCTGGGCCACATAGTGAGATCTTGTCTTAAGCAAAAAAAAAAAAAAAAAAGATTTCAACTCAAAACGCTTTCCTAACTACCCGCCACCTTCCAGGCACCTAATCTACAAGGAACTCATGGGAGAATTGTTTTCTTGTTCTTTGTCTTTTGGAGACAGGGTCTTGCTATGCAGTTCAGGCTGGCCTTGAGCTCACTTTGTAGCCCAGGCTGGTCTTGAACTTGCAAATGATTGTCCTGCCTCAGCCTCCCACGTGCTGGCACCACTATGCCTGGCAAGAATTTATGTCTGTCTCTCCAGTGAGTATGTGACACGGGGCATGAGGTCAGAAACATGCCCCTATTGTTCTCACAGAATCTGTGGCATCTAACCTGGGTCTGGCCCACAGACCTGCTGCAGCAGAGAATTCTATGATGCAGAGAGGTTTAGACACGTGTATGAGGTTGCACAGCTAATTAGGAAAGAAAGATAGATGCGAACCCAGGTCTGCAGACTCCAGAGTTGCAGCCGTAAGGACTACATGCTCCTGGTCTCCCTGGAGCCTGGGTCTTAAGACCTCAGCATCCCAGGATGGGTGCCCACCTCTCTACTCACCCTCAAGACGTAACAGCTGGGGGCAATAACAGTGGATGGTGGCAGCCAATGCGGCACCACTGGCCAGGTCCTGGATGGTGGTCACAGACGGGAAGCAGGGAGCTCGGCGGGCCACGGCGCGGTCCTTGCGGTAGCGGATCTGTGAACAAGAGCCAGGTGAGGTGAGCCATGGGGTTGGGCCCCCCGGGTCAGCACATGCAGGCTGGGGGGAGGCCTGGGGTTTCTGCTGTGAGGGGCAGGAAGCCAGGGGTCCCAGAGCCAGAATGGAGGAGGGCAGCCTGGAGCAGGGAGGGACGGCAGCGAGGCGAGGCGGCATCTGCGAGCAGCGAGCCAGCAGCGGGGACCGGGGACAGGGACTCCTGGGACCCCGGGGTGGGGGATACATTACCATGGGGGGTTTGCTCCCCGACTCCTTCAAACAGAAGGCAATTGCGTGCTGGGGGGAGAGGAGCGGCTGTCAGCAGGGGGAGGGGTGCTGACCTGCTGGGCCCCGAAGCCCACTCTGGGGGAGGAGTCCTGACCCCTGTCCTAGCCATCCAGCTCCCTGACTGCGCTCTGGCCGGCTTTAGGGACCCCAGCTCCTCCCAGCCCTGAGGGACCCCACAGAGCAGCCTCCCATGCAGGGACCCCTCCTCCCAGAAGAGATGCAGCCCCCGGCTCGGCTCAGGGAGAGGACGCGGAGTAAGCAGGTAGGCAGGGAAGGAGCCTCCCGACCCAGACCCCAGGGTGAGGGGAAAGACATGAGCAAAGGTGGGGATTTGCCCAACCCCCAAAGGTCCCCAAACTTCCCTTTCTCTGCCACAGTGATGCACTCTATGAAGCACAGAGGGGATCAGACACTTGTGCAAGGTCACATAGCTAATTATGGGCAGAGAGAGTGATAGAGCTTCAGGCTTGGAGAAAAGGCCTCCTGCTACAGCTGGGTTTTCATCCCTGCTTAAGGAAACTGAAGACCTGAGTTAGGAAGTTGCTTCTATCTTCTGCGTTTGGGGGACTTCCTCTTAGCTAGGGAGATCTCTACGTGCCCTACCTACTGGGGCCAGACTCCGCAGGTCTGGCAGGCTGGGGGCTCTCCAGAGCTGGCTGAGCACTGGCTCCAAGGGGGATGCTCTCTGAGACTGGGGAGGCTTTGCCCTCACGATTCATGGGAAACTTGAACATCCGTGGGATGGGATTGGCGCTCTGTGGTTCGCCAAGATCCCTCCCCTTCTCTTACTGGATTGCCCTGTCCCCAGGGGTGGGGTCCCAACTCCTTTGCTCACAGCTGGAGGAAGACAAGGGAGGGTGCAGACAAGGCAGGCACACACGGACAGACAGCGACAAGCAGGGCCGGCAGACAAAGTGACAGACAGCCCCACTTACAGGGACCAGCTTCCAATACCAGCGCGTGGGACACTGATGCCAGAGGGGCAGAAAGGGGGACAGCGGGGGCCGGAGCAGGGGACAGGGCAGAGAGAGAGAGAAAGAGAAGTCACCTCCAGCCTCCCCAGCTCAGGATGGGCCGGGAGCCGCGGCCCAGCCCCACCGCCCAGCCCTCCGTCACCAGCGCCCTCGGCCTGCCGCCCCAGCCTCACCGAGGGCTGCGCCGGCGCTGCCCCATCAGCAGGAGCAGCGGGAGAGGCACGCTGTGCTGCTTCTTGCTCAGTTTTCTCCTGCAGCCTCCGGACGGTCTGCAGACCAGGGAGAAGTCAGCCGTGCGTGGTCACTGCACCCACCAATGTCTCCCCGCCCTTGCGACGCTCCACCTACCGATTCCACCCAGAGCAGCAGTTTGTGCTCCAAGCTAGGCAGAGCCAGGGGACCGGGCAGCGTCTTCGTCCACTCGAAGGCGAAGGCCACCATAAGGGCATCGATGACTGCTAGGTGGGCTCCCTGTGGGGGCCAAACTGCAGGCTGAAGCCAAGGGCATGGGAGGTCTCCCGGCCTCCCAGGCCACAGTGGGTGTGGCTTGTGTGGGCAGGGCTAGGGGCTGATGGGTGGAACCTTGAGGACAGAAAGCAGGCAGGAATGGAAGAGCCACACAGGATGCGCAAGGCTCAGAGGCCTAGGATAGCTCGGCGGTGCCGGGAGGTCAAGGCCCTCTGTGACTTCCAGAGAGAGGGGCCAAGACTGGGATGGACACAATGCATGGAAAGGATTTAGTCTGATAGATGGAACTAGGCTTAGAAGGAGGGGACACACCTACTGGGTGGAGCCTGAGGGGAGGAGCTAGGTCTAATTGGCAGGGAACATTGAAGGGAAGGGCTAGGACTGGTGGGCGGGGCTATGACTGATAATAGAAGCAAAGCTTGGCGGAATTTGGTAAGTGAAACTAAGTCTAGAAGGTGGAGCCAGGCCTAATGAGTGAAGGTGTAATTGGTGGGAAACATTGGGGGCGGGGCTACTATGGCTTGTGGGAGGGGCTATACATGATGGGTGGAACCCGAGGGAAGTAGGCTAGCTTGGCAGGAAGACGTAGGTCATTAGGGTGAAGCCCATTGGGTGAGGGCCTAGGCCTTAGGGTGAGAGGTCAAGGGGAGGAGCCAGGCCTAGTGGGCAGGGCTTAAAGGGCGAGGCAGGCCTACCATGAGAATGGGCTGGTGTCTCAGGTCCGCCTCGCACACTGGGCGATCAGGGAGCGAGGGCACAGTGCCCCTCCGAGACAGCAGGGCCAACAGCGCTGAGGGGTTGGGAGGGGCTTCGAGCTGCGGCAGCGCCTGGCGCCAGGCCCGGCAGTAGAGTTCGGCAGATAGCAGCAGCCGGGTGACCGGGGGCTTCACGTGCTCCTGTGCGTACTGGTCGGTGTAGAAGGGCTCCCACAGCTCCGGCGGCACGTGCTCTGCGCGCAGGGAAAGGGGGTCAGGGCCACGCAGACCTCGTCACATGCGACGACCCTGGGCTGGGGGGTTGGCTCCAGGGAGGACGATGAGATGGGCAGTTTGCCAGAGGAAAGGAGACATTGCCCTGGACAAAGGGGGCTTCGGGTGCCAAAGAATAGAAGAGAACTCAGGAGGGAGCTCCCACGACTGGCTAAGCAGAATCTCAGGCCTCGAACAAAGAGAAAAGCACCTGCGATTGCAATCACAACAACCCTCCTGCAGGAGGCAGAGAGAGGGTAAGTAACCTGTCCAAGGTCACATAGCTCTTAATGCCAGAAGTGAGATTCAAACCTAGGCCTTAAGCAAAGTCTACACCCTTGGGGACATCTGCTGGCAGACAGCACAAGGGGCCTGAACTTAGGGTGCTGTGAGGCCCTGCACAGAGGCAGCCTGGTGAACCCTATTTGGAGGAAAGGCTCCAAGCAAGACCCAAGTGTGGAGAGGAAAAGGTCTGGAAGACACGGGGTGTGTGTGTGGTGTGTGTGTGTGTGTGTAACTGAGGTCACCAGATTTGCTTCTTCCAGCAGGCTCCACAAGAGCCCTTGACACAAGGACGCGGAGATCTCGACAGAAATCCACAGCTTTGCCACCTTTCGCAACCCTGGAACCCCACTGGCCTTTCCCACCCTGTGAGCAGCCGCACCTTCACTCTGACCTTCACAGGGAGGGGTTTCTCCCGCTCGATTTCCCCTCCTGACCACCTGCAGCCACCTCTGCTTCCCCGACCAGACTTCTCAGTCCTGCCTCAAAGCCACCAGTGTAGGCCAATTCACAGCCCATGAACACCCGGGGCCCTGCTGCCACTGGGCTTTCTGCCCAGCGTCTCTTCTCCCAGAACCCTTCTTGAGCCGGTGTCTCCCCGGAAATGGCCCTGCCCTATCCACACATGGCAGCAGCCCTGGCCATCTGAGGACTCCCACCCATAGCAGCCCAGTCCGGTGTCCCACTGTCCCCTCAGGCATCTCCCACGACCCCCAGTGCTATCACCATCATGGAACAAAATCACCAGGCCTTCTCCCTTACAGTCAGCTGATCAGTGGGTCTCTTCTTACACCTTCCAAACCCAAATAGGCTTCACTAGCTGCCCCTTGGAGGCTAGAGACTCAGCTGTGGCCACTGCCTGCTCCAATCAGCAAAATGTAACAAGTTTCTTTCCCTCAGGCATTCTTAGGGCCTTCAAGGTAAACAAAGAGAACTAGAGGAATTGATAGCTGTTTATGTTTGGGTTTCAAAACAGGTAGGCACTATTGGGTCTTTGGAGTTATTCTGTGTTAGGGAGAGGCTGTCCTGCACACTGTAAGATGTCAGCAAGATGTTTGATGGCTACTCACAAAATAGCACTAGCACCTCCTCTCAAGTAGAAATAACAAAACATGTCTCCAGACACTGCCAAATATCTCTGAAAGACAAAACTGCCACCTGTGAAAACCACTGTTTTACAGAGCAGAGCTGTCCAGCAGAAAGAATAAGTATGATCAGAACATACAACCAATATTGTCGGGGCATGATAGCACACAACTGTGACCCCTGCACTCCGGAGGCTGAGTTTGAGGCCAGCTTGGGCTAGTGAGTTCAAAGCCAGTTTAATCAGTGAGACCATCTCAAAAGAAAAAAAAATGCCAAGAATGTTGAAAGTAAAAAGTTATTACAGTAGCTAGGTGTGGTGACACACACCTATAATCCCAGCACTTAGGAGGCTGAGGCAAGAGGATCGCCGTGAGTTTGCATAAGGGAGTACAAGGCCAGGGATCTCAAAAAAAATTTTTTTTATTACAGTAAAACATACTGTCTCCCTCTAAATACTTTGAACACACTTATCCTATGTGTTTGTCACTTTCTGAAGCATCTCTGGAAGGCCCCTTTCATGACTGTCTTTAACTGAGTTGTGGCTGCCTCGATGTCTTGAATCACTTCAAAATAATGACTTTTCATGGCCATTTTTACTCTGGGGAAGAGCCAGAGCTGGTGAATAAGGTCGCCCCGTGATGTTTTTATGAGCCTGGCTTCCTACTGAATGGCACTCAGTGGCAGCATTCACTGTATTTTTGATCACACCTCATGAAGACACTTATGAAAGAGGATTTCGGAACTGCTTCAGAAAGCAGGAGGAGAGTGGGATCAGTGTGTTTAAAGCGAGGGGAGATATTTTGAGGGGATTTAATAGCAATGTATCTTTTATTGTCATAAATGCCTTTGTTTAATATGCACTTTTTTTGGGGGGGGGTCTTTTTTGAGACAGGGTCTCACTATGCAGTTCAGGCTGGCCTTGAGCTCACTTTGTAGTCCAGGCTGGTCTCGAACTCACAACAATCCTCCCACCTCATCCTCCCGAGTGCTGGGATTACAGGCATGAGTCACCACACCCGGCTTAATATGCACTATTTGATCACCCTTTGTATATTGTAACACACATGTATAGAGTTTTTAAGTTTTCTAGTAGCCATATTAAAAAACCAGAAACATTAATTTAGTGATATAGCCTATTCAACCCGATATATATATCCAAGGCATTATCATTTCTCCATATGATCAATATAAAAACGTTCATATTTTACCCTGTTTTTATTTCACATGCACGGCATCTCTTAATTATGGCCAGCTTCATTTCTTTTTTTTTTTTTTTCTTTCTTTCTTTCTTTTTTCGGGGGGAGGGGACCTTGCGCTTGCCAGGCAGGCACTTATGCCACCGAGCTAAATCCCCAGCCTCATTTCAAGAGTACAGTAACCACATGTATACACTTCTAATCCCAGCACTCTGGGAGGTTGAGGGAAGAGGATTGCAAATTTGAGACCAGCCTGGGCACTTCAGCAATTTAGTGAGACCCTGCCTCAAAATTAAAAATGGAAAAAAGGGCAAGGGCTGTACTCAATGTGATGACTTGGGTTCCATCACACACATATAGCTAGCATGTGTTTATTCCATGAGCTTCACTGAATTCTAAGAGCATTGGATCCAAGACTTCACACCAAAAAACAAACAAACAAAAAATAAACCAGGGCTGGGGATTTAGCTCAGTGGCATAAGTGCCTGCCTGGCAAGCATGAAGTTGTGAGTTCAATCCCTGATACGGGGAAAAAAAAAAAAAAAAAAAGCCAGTGAAATCCTAGCACACATAGGCTCTTGCTGTGTGGCCCAGGCTAGCCTGGAACTTGCTATTGAAGCCCAGGCTGGCCTCAAATTGAAGATCCTCCTGCCTCAGCCTCCCAAGTGCTGGAATGACAGGCATGCTTCACCACACCCAGACTGAGACGCCTATTCTTATGCTATGGTGCAGGTAAGAAAATCAAAGCCCAAGGAGCTGAGCTCACTTGCCCAGGATCACACGGCCAGTGACCAGCAGCAGTGCCCACATAACCCCCCTCCCTCTCATGTCCTGGGTCCGCCCGGAGGAGGAATTTCCCAAACTTCACAGACTCCTGTATCTCATTGCAATGCTCAGCTGAGCCCATTAGCCTGACCTGCCTGCATGGTCTCCGCACACCTGTGCCTCCATCCAGCTACCCATCCCCAACCCTAGCCCCCACTGTCCCATCATCTTCTCAGTCCCTGGCACCTCTGGCTTCTCAGTTCCTAGCCTCTGCCCTCAGATCCCTTGCCCTGGCCCTAGAAGCCCTCCTCCTCCAGCCTCCCTTGGCCATCACCCCTGGGGACTTGCATGTTCTTTCTGAAAATTTCCTGGTGATCCACAACCTACACACATCCTTCAAGATTCAGGTCCTTTCTCCTCTGGCCAGTCTTACCCTCTCCCTTCCTGGAAGACTTCAAGGGGTACCCCACCCTATCCTGCTTCACAACACAGATCCTATCACCTGAAGCAGCTCTGATCTGGTTTCACACCCAACCCCCTCTCCTGCCCTGGCACTGGCATCTAATGGGCATCCGTGAAGTCCCACAATCCATGAATCTAGCAGAGCTTCATTCCCTACTTCCTGCAGCTGCCCTGGCAGGCAGGCGAAAGACAGACTGAACTGGACCTTCGGGTAGAAGCTGCCACTGGACAGCTCTCACAGCACCCAGAGCTGAGTCAGTCAGTACAGAACTGGGGGTGTCAGCTTACCAGCCACCATCAAGGGATTCCCTTCTTTTTAGTTGGTCTTTTCGAGACAGGGTCTCACTATGTAGCCCAGGCTGGCCTGGAATTCACAGTGATCCTCCCACCTCAGCCTCCCAAGTGCTGGGATTATAGGCACACACCTCCTCACCCAGCTCCCATCTTTTCCATGAAATAACATTAGTAGGCTCTGCTCTGTGCCCTGGCCCAGGGATGATGAATGAGAGTAGCAGTATATGAATAGGAGCCTCACCGTCAATCACACAGGCAGCCATAGTGCCCATCCATTGGTGCAAACCGTGTGCCACAGACACTGGGATGAATTCCACACACTCGCACCCCTGACCCATTGCCCATGAGCTGCCCAGGTCTCCATCTGCATGCCACACCCCACACAGACATTTCCGGGGATGGGTAAATAAGTGAACAGAGGCCTGTTTCGAGGAGGCAGCAGAAGCTTGGAGAATGGGCATAATTCTTCCATATTCCAGAGGAGCTGGGAAGCAAACTCATTTCTGACTTGCAAAACCTGGCTGGCTGTGGCCTTATAACCTTGGGGGGGGGGGGGTGCAGGGCAGACCCGGGTCCCAACCCCAGCCCCTCTCTTTCGAGTCTAGGAGTCTAGCAGATGCCTGTGGCAGGCAGATTTCAGAGCAGGCCACGCACAGCAGGCTGCAGAAAGACCGACCTGGAGAGAGGGGAAGGGGCAAGCTGGGGAGAAAGCCAGTGAGGACCAGCTGTCATCCGGACTCACACCCAGAACAGGTTGGTCTGGGAAGGCCACTGGGGAGGGGGAGGGGCCGTGCTCAGCTGGTGCCAAGACCAGTGGGCAGGTCCGTGGGAGGGGAGGGCATCCCCCACAGCGCCCCGGAAGGCCCAGACCTTAATTAATCCCTGCCTTCCCCAAAGCCAGGCTGGGACTCCCAGTTCTGACCTGGGGGTGGTGGAGCTGCGGGTTGGGGTAGGGAAGAGGGAGAGAGGCTCTATCATCCGGGGAGGATCCTGCATGCTCCTCTCGGCGGTGGCCGAGTTCTCCAGGCCCTTAGGCCTGGAAGAGGAGAGAAGGCTCTGCAGCCATGGAGAAGGCCTTGCTGCGGCCGGAGCTCCCACCCTGGGCGATGCTGGACAAGCCATTTCCCTCGCACAGGGCTCGGTAAAATGAAGCAATAACTCTCTGCTGCCAGCAGCCGGCGGGGGCCATGAAAGCCAAATGAGGGTGGGGGTTCCCAGAGCTCCCGGATCGCTGCCTGCAGCGCGGACAGAGACCAGGGAGGCGGCGGGCTCGGGGTCCCCGCAGACGCGTGATGTGGGCGTGCAGAGGGGAGGCGGAGGGGGGCGTGCAATGCAAAGTCCCAGGGCGGCGGGGGAGGGGACCGAGAGCCTAGAAGGGACCCCTTTGGCGGCAGACCCCGCCCCGCTCACCTGCTGGGAAGCCCCGCTCCCGGTAGAGTGAACCCCACCCCCACCGCGCCCGGGCAGCCGGGCGGGCAAAGTCCACACCGCGCCGGCCGAGCAGGAAGCCCGGAGGCCTCGGCGCTGCGGGAACGCGGGCACCGGGAACATAGGGCACCCCCGAGCCCCCGACTCCTGCGCTATTGTTCCGCGCCCCGCCCCCCGCACCTGCCGCGCCGCGCCCGCGCCCCCCGGCCCGCGCGGTACCTGCGCCCCCGAACGCGGCCCGCAGCACCCACGCCAGGCTCGCCGCCGCCTTGGCCCGCGAGAAGTCGTACTGGTCCAGCGACTTGATCTCGGGCACCAAGAAGGTCCTCCGCAGCGGCCCAGGACCCGCGGGCGCCGCCTCCACCATGGCGACGCGGGCTGCGGCGCCGGCTCCGCGCTGCGCCCCACTCCTCCTCGCCGCCGGCTGCGCGCGCTCGTCCCCGCCCGGCCCAGCAGCCCCGAAGCTGAGCCAGGTGCGCCCGCCCGCGTCCGCGACGCTGCGTCGGCTCCGCCCCGGGGCGGAGCCCAGGTGCGCCCCGCCCCTGCCCTGCGCGGGCCCCGCCCCCCAGCCTGGCTAGGACCCGCGGGGCGGCGACCCGAACTGGGCAGGGCGGGGGACTGCGGCGGTGGGCGGGAGGGAAGGAGGGAGGGGTGTTGCGAAGGAGCGCGCGCGCACGCGCGCGCGTGTGTATGCCCGCGTGCGTGAATGTGCGTGTGGTGTGTGTGTGTGTGTGTGTGTGTGTGTGTGTACGCGCGCGCCCGGAGCACCGGAGGCCACCAGGGCCCCGGTGTGCCCGTGCATATGTGCCCTGGCGTCCACACAGGGCTGTGAGCCTCACCCAGCGATGCATCTGTTCTGACTGTATTGGTGAGGGCACAGGCATGAGTGTCTTCCAGCCAGGTGTCGTAGTACACACCCGTCACTCCAGTGGGCAGGAGGCTGAGGCAAAAGTATCACCTCTGTTTCGAGGCCAGCCTGGGCCACGTGGGGAGTTCAGGGCCAGTCTGGGCTACAAAAGGAGATTCAAAACAAACAAAAAACCAAGACCCAATGTGCGTCTTTCACGTGGGTACGCCTCTCTGAATGCATTTGGATGGTGGCTAAGTGTATGGGGAGATCCAGTCCAGGCTTGTGTGCTTCTCTGACATGAGCGTGACAGTGCATGTATGCATATGCCTGTGTTCATGCACGCTGGAAATGTGTACAAAAATTACACATTATGTAAGTGTTTGTATTTTTTCTCTTTTCATTTTACATAGCCCCTGCTGGCCTTGCACTCACGGTGATCCACCTGCCTCAGCCTCTTGAATGTTAGGATGACAGGTGCGCACCGCCATCCTAAGCAATGTTTGAATTCTGAGAATAAAAGTATTGAGTGTACGTGTACCTCTGCTTTGTGGGTGGGTATGAGTATGTGTTTGTGCAAATCTAAATGTGCTTGTGTGTTGTAGAAGGATGTGGCTGTTTCTGTCCGTACAAGAGTATAGGGGAGACCCTGGGGTGGGCAGATCTGTACAGGAAAGTGACCGTTTGGTGAGTGTGCTTGTGTGGCTGTGAGTGGATATAGGTGCGGTGTGGACTGGGTTGGCTGACTGAGTAGGTGAGGATGTACTTGTAACTAAGTGGATTTGTATATGAGTGTGAATGTGGCTGTGCACACGTGCAAGTGTGTGTGACACGGTTTTCCAAATGTATTTTGGGGGTATACAGTTAGCCCTTTGTATCAGCAGGTTCAGAGTCACCGGACTCAATGAACCACAGTTTGAGAATATTTGAAAAACAAATTCGGTCTGCACTGAACAATGGGGCTGACCTTTTCTTGGCAATATTCCCTAAGTGATACAGTGTAGCGACTAGTTATGGCAGCTTGCTGTTTCAGTTGTTACCAGTTACCTGGAAATGATGTGAAGTCCCACAGGAGGATATACCTGGGTTCTGAGCCAATACTCCTCCATTGTGGAAGGGCTTCAGCACCTAAGGATTGGAGAATCTGTGGGGAGTCTGGCCCCACTCCCTGGAGGTGCCAGGATAACTTTGTTATCTGTTTACATATGTTTATGGATTTTAGTAGATGGTGTGAGCCTAAGATTGCCAAGTCTGTAAACGATGAGAGTAGGTATAAAATTCAAGGAATTTTAATTCATAATTCAGGTGTGGTGAAGCTGAGGCAGGAGGGTCATGGCAAGTTTGAGGCAGCCTGAGATAGAGAGAGAGAGAAAGAGAGAGAGAGATTCCTACTTGTGAATGCATTCATGAGAGTAATTAGGTGCATACTGGCTTAGGAACTGAATGTTTGTGTACTCACACAAATGTATTTGGGAGTGATGTGAATCAAATGTGCATGAAAGTGTTATGCATACAGATATATGTGTACATGCCTCCACGCTTTTAGTGTTCCTAGGTATGCCTAAAGCCCTATTTGTCAATATTTAACATTTGAGCCATTGTGGTTTTGTGTCAAAACCTCTGCTGTGTGGCTCTCACCTGTGTAAAACTGTGAAGTGTTTGTGTTTGTGCAAGTACTAGGTCTTTCCAGGCCTGTGTGTAAGTTTGTATATGTGGACATAACAAGTGTACATGTGTATATGGTGTGTGCCTTACCATTTGATGCATCCATTTCTGAGTATATTTGTGCAGGTAAAACTGGGCATGTGTAAATGGATGGACATTTGAATTCATCTTTGTGTGAGCATTTACACTTATGAGGTGACTAAGCACAAAGTATGTGTGTGTTTTCCTTTGTTTCTTTATTTTATTTATTTATTTTGTCTTTTTCTTTTTTATTGGTACCAGGGATCGAACTCAAGACCACACACTTGCAAGGCAGGCGCTTATGCCGCTGAGCTAAGTCCCCAGCCCCTACTTATTTTTCTTAAACGGAGTCTTGCTATGTAGCCTAGGCTGGCCCGGAACTCACGGCGATCCTCCCGAGTCCGAGTGCTCTGCTGTCTGAGTGCTCAAATTACAGTTGTGCACCACCAGCCTGGCTGTGTGTGTTTTCTGGGTGTACGCTGGGTATCCGAATGAATCTCTGCATGTGTGTATTGGTGCTGCTTGGATGTGCCTGGATATTAAAATGTGACTTTGATCAAGTGCTCACATCTGCATATTTGCAAGCATATTTACAGATACGGAGGTGCACGTGTGTCACAGATGAGAGAAAATGTGTGGCTGGATTCTATCTAAGGGAATATAAGTGTGAGCTTGTGCATCACAACTACAGAGGGAAGCTGAACACGATGGCGTACACTTGTAATCCCAGCAATGGGGAGGCTGAGGCAGCAGGATCGCCTGGAGTTCAAGGCCAGCCTAGACTACATAGCAAGACCCTGATTGAAACTGCAGAGGGGGTTTCACTCCATGCACACACACCTAGGACTATACAAAGTGCTGTAACCTAGGAAAATCACCTGATGCCCTCAAGATCCCCGAGCCCCAGAGGGAGGCCCAGGAGAGTGCCCTGCGCACACACATTGTACACCTACTGGAGGAATGGGTCCCATGGTCCCCAGCATGTGACCAGGCAGGTGTGTGGGCCAAGGGAGGGGTGCTGGGCCTGTGCATTCCTGTCTAGATTGCTGTGCAGGGATGTGTGTGTGTGTCTGTGTGTCAGAGTCCACGTGTGGCAACGCCTGTGCGCCTGTCCTCCAACCTTGACTTCCATCCCAGCCCCCCTAGGGCACCTACACCAGGTTCTTCCACGGCGGGCCTCAGTTTCCCCATCTGGCCTCAGGGGCTCCAGGCCCAGGGAGGCGTCCCTGGCAGAGCAGGGCGTTCCCGCGAGTTGCGCTTGTCCTGCACGCTCACGTGCGCTCTTGCCTTGGCCGGGAACGTTCCCCTGACCTGCGGGGACCCCAAGGACGAACCCAGGTGAGGACTGCACCTGCCGCGGGCTGCGCACTCCAGGGACGCGGGGCGGACAGGCCGGCACAGGCCTCGCGTCCCAGGAGGGGCTGCAGAAGGAATCGGAACAGAGGCGGGCCGGTGCCCCCGCCCCGGGCGCTTGGGCCTCGGCCGGCCCAGCCCCCACACCGGGCGGACCGGAACGCCAGGCTGGGCCAGACTGCCCCGCCCACACAGGCCGCTGGAAGCCGGTCCCGCCTGCCCCGGGGCCCTGATCCTGCGGCCAGGCGCAGACATACTGGCTCCCCTGTGTGCATGGCGAGGAGCTCGACCGCACCCCAAGATGCCGCCCCCCCAAATTCCTCCTCTCGTCCTCCCTCTTCTGGCGGTGCCCTGGGCTCTCGTTAGCCAGGTTGTGACGCCCAGGGTGGGGTGACTTCCAGGGTTTGTAGGTCAGGGGTTTGGAGCAATATGGGAACCCCTATAAAATCATCCACCAAGTCCTGCCTGCCTGTGCACGTTTCCATCACACTGACCACTGCTGATTTTTCAGTGCCATCCATGCCTGCCGCCAAACTCCCTGAATCCTCACCACCGTCCAGCAGAATGGGTGAAACTTTGCAAGAAGCCTAAAATAATAACCTTAGGGAGTTTGCTTTTTGGGAAGAGGGGTGGTTGTTTTTTTAAAATCAGATTTAATTGCTACTTTTAGATCTACATAATGATCTTATTCATGAGAGGATTTTGGTGTTTTTGAGACAAGGTCTTGCTTTGTAGACCAGGCTGGTCTTAAACTCATGGTGATCCTTCTGCCTCAGCTTCCTGAGTGCTGGGACTACAGATATTGACCACCATGCCCAATGTTATGATTTTTTAAAAATTATTTATTTGTTAATTTATTTATTTATTGGCTTTTTGAGAGAGTCTCAATATGCCGCTCAGGCGGGCCCTCAGCTCACTCGGTAGTCCAGCCTGGCCTGGAACTTATAAGGATCCTCCTGCCTCAACCTCCCAAGTGTTTGGGATGACAGGCATGTGCCACCACATCTGGCAGTTATTTTAATTAATTAACCACTTGTTTGTTGAGACATAGTATCCACTCAGGCTTACTCTGTAGTTTGGTCTGGGCTCTAATTTGTGACCCTCCTGCCTCAGTCTCCTAAAATCTGGGATTATAGTTGGCTGCCACCACACCTGGCCTGACTTTTCTTCCTTTTCCTTTGAGATCTGGTTATGTTGTCCAGGATGGCCTGGGACCCATGGGCTCAAACCATTGCTGGCTAGCTCGGGTTCTTGCTTGAGCAGAAGTTCCCAGAGCGGGAAAAGGTTTACTTGAAAAATCAAAAGGAAAACGGAAGAGGGCCGCTCCGCCCTCATCTGGGTCTGGGGTCTTTTGGCTGAGGGGTGGGCTCCCTCCCTGAACACCCTCCCTGGGAAGCACGTCTCCATCTGTGAGGGTCTGAGGAAGGTGGAATCTGCTCTTCCTGGGATTCTGGGGATCACAGTTTCAGGGTGATGGTTGGAGACTTCCAGGCCTCGATGGATGTCCCAGGAAGTTGCTCCTCCAGTGCCCTCAAACTGAAGGGGGTGAGATTACATAAGTGCAAGGCTCACTGATCTTGTTTTGCCACCAAAGATCACAGCCAGCTGATACTCGCTGGGTGATTAACCTATCGATATGCAAAACGGAGAAGAGATCAGACCCAAGAGTTACGGGGACCAGTGACATGAAAAGAAAGCCAATCTTCTTTCTGCTGTTAGATGGGTAACTGGCATTTGTAGGCCTGAGAGCAGTCACAGTTCACAGCAAAATGGCATTTAAGGCCTTGGTGTCCCAGAAGAACAATCTTTTTTTTTTTTTTTTTTTTTTTTTTTGTCTTTTTGAGACAGGGTCTTGTGGTGCAGTTCAGGGTGGACTTGAGCTCACTTTGTAGCCCAGGCTGGCGTCAAACTCACAGCAATTCTCCTGCTTCAGCCTCCTGAGTGTGAGTGCTAGGATTATAGGCATGTGCCACTACGCCAGGTTCAAATCAGCTTCTAACAAGCAGCAGGAAAGGCCCAGGATCCTGCCTGTCTTCCCATCTCTACAATGATCCCTGACTGTGTTATGAATGTATCCAAATGATCCTCCTGCCTCAGCCTCCCAAACAGCTGGGACCATGGGTTCATGACGCAGACCCAGTGATTGTGACAACAAAGACCATAGCCAGGTTGCCAATATGTGTCCAATGTCCCACGGCATGGGTGCAAGGAGGATTTGAGCACCGGTGAGCTGGACCCAGCGTCCACCAGCTGGATGGCAGTGCTGTCCTGCAGCTGTCTTGCAGCTATCCCGCCATTTTGGAACACCTGTGACCCTCAGATGAGGTCAGCAGGCCCTGTACAAGGAGGCTTGAGATCCTCCTGCAACTCCAACCACAGCAAGTGCTAGGGCAGTGCCCCCCGGCCACCCCTCTGGGGTCATGCTCATGGGAGAAGATGTATCATCAGGACCTCTGGGAGATCTCTCCAAAACATGTAAAATAATTTATTGAGCCAAGCATGGTTATTCTAGCACTTGGGAAGCTGAGGCAGGAGAATTGCCAGGAATTCGAGACCAGCCTGAACTACATAGCGAGACCAAAAAACTAAGAAAAAAAAATAGTTAATAATTTTTGAGACACGTTCCCCCTGTCCAGTTCCTGCTGGCCTTGAACTCATTGTGTAGCCCAGGCTGGCCTCAAGCTCATGGTGATCCTCCTGCCTTGGGCTTCCAAATGCTGGAGTTAAGGAGGAAGCCCAGAATTTTGAGGCCAACCTGAACAATATACAAAGACCTGGCCTCAAAGAGAAGAAGCACAAGAAGAAGAAAGAATTTCTAGGAAAATAAAATGTAAAGCCATACATCGTGCCGGAAATTAAGGAACAACCAACAAACTCTCAACACCCACAGAAACCCACAAGAATAAAGGAACAGGAACAGGGCCCAGAGCCAACTCACACAGTTCCTCCTGCCAAAGCTGTTGAATAATAAAATAAGTCAAATGGCCATGGATTTTGATCCAAAGGACACAATAAACATTCACGAGTCCATGCTGATATAAATACGTGATCAAAACTGGGTGTGGTGGTGCCTGCCTGGAATCCCAGCACTCAGGAAGCTGAGGCAGGAGGATTGCTGTGAGTACTAGGCCAGCCTGGGCTAACAGTGAGACTCTGTCTCAAAACGCAAACAAAAACATCAAACAAACTAACAATAAGGGGTGAGAGACAAACTTCCCATAAAGGGGAATTCCAAATAACGTATATGGAGCCTCTGTCCTCTAGGATGGGGACATAATTCCACATTCCTGAGATACAGATACTGCAGAGAGAGACAGAGACAGAGAGACACAGAGAGCGAGAGAGAGAGATTACCCTTAACAGTGGAGCAAGCTGCCAGCCCTACTAGTTCAGCAAGCTGTTGAGGTCAAGCCCAAGAGTCATACATTATTCTGAGCATTGTCACTCCATAGTGTCAGCACGGAGCTTACGTCCCCCGGTCCTCAAACATTTCCACCCAAGATGTGTTCTATACAGGGCTGGGGATTTAGCTCAGCGGCATAAGCACCTGCCTTGCAAGCAGGCGGTCGTGAGTTCAATCCCTGGTACCGATAAAAATGAAAAAGACAAAAAAAAAAAAATTACAAGATGTGTTCTATACATCGCATGGTTTCTCTTCTATAAGAAATTCACTATATAAGTAAGGTCCAGTGGGAAGTAGATGGAGAGATGAGGGAGGGGTGAGTGATGAGAGCAGGATGAAGGTGTGTTCCATGCCTGGACCAACCTCACACAGGACGGGAGACACTATGTACCACGGACACACACTGATAAAAAGCAAAATAAATAGACAACAGATCAGACTGAGCCCTGCTGGGAAGCAGGTGAGGAGAGCGCTTGCCCCAAGAGGCTGAACCCCTGGCTCCCATCCGCAGCTCCAAAGAGAAGCATTTGTGAGGACCCTAGAGGGCCTTAGGGACCACACCGGAGGAACCTGAAGGCAGGGTACACTTGAGTTAATAACAAGGCATGCAAACTGCTTCATTAACGTTAGCTAATGTGCCATGCTCAGAGAAGACGTTAATAACAGAGGAAAGGCAGTGTGCACATGCACAAA